GACATTCTAAATGCCCTAAACATCATCTTCAATACTGGGATGCTCTGGTTATTCCTGATGTGGACTGAACTGCGAACCACCTTTTCAGTGTATCTTATGTGTCTGTCCGTCTCCAACATTGTACTCGGTATTGCGGTGACCTTGGGGTATCATATGCCGCAGGATGCAGCGTATTACACATCAGAAGGACGTGTAATTTACTGTATCTTCATGAACTGGGTAGCCTGGATTATGTACGTCATTCCTATGCAAATGCATGTCCTGATCGCTCTAAACCGTCTATGGGCGCTGGGATTTCCCCTATCGTATGCTCGTCTCCACTCGAGAACGGTGGCGTGGACGCTTTGCTTAGTGGGCGTAGGTATCACGCACATCGTAACGTTCCCTTTAATCCTTTTGGATCAGTTTATCTATGTCGAACCGTCCTTGTATGCATGCAATACGGCGGTTGACCAAGTGCCGTTGTTTGGTTATACGATAGCTGTTCAGATGCTCATTGGCAACACCCCTGTCGTGTTTATTGTCTTGCTGTATCCGATCCTGTTTGTACTTTATCAGCGCAGGAAGCGGACACTGAAAAAAACTTTGGATGTGGAACTGAAAGTTCCTCAAAATCAACCGGATGATACTATAACGAATGCGCAAGGCAGTGCTGTGCACGACGCGCCCGATGCAAGAACGCAAAAGGTACGGTATGTACCAAAACGCAGTTATTTCATTAGAAAATGAAAACAATTTTAATTAATGTGTGCTGAGTTGTTTACCGCAACAATTCGTGTACAGGTATTGTATATTACGTTAGTAATGAGAAGTCATTATTATTTACGCGCTATCCTAGCTTTCATTTATTCGAAACTTGTACTAACTATTCGTAAACAGGCATTTCACGATATTTCAATGTGCTGCAGGTGCGCTACCAAGTAAGCGTGACAACGAAACCCCGACTACGAGTGCGACCGTTCACCATGTACACTCTCGTGACCTTTACGACAATTATATGCTGGACACCGGCTCTGGTGTACACGAGCTTAATTTATTTCAAAACGCAAGCAAATCAAACGTCAACCCTAGAATCGTTTATCACTTTTATGCTAGTTGATCTACAGCCGGTGCTGGATCCCATATTATTCGCCATCAGCATCAAGGCGATTCGGAAAACATGTGCTGTAGGATTCGCCAGATGGTTACGGCGGCGTAAAATTCACTATTATGAATAAATATGTTAAATTACCATACCAATTTAAGGAATCAGATTGTTGCGGTACATTTGAAAAGCGAATAAATTCGATTACAGCACACTTGTTTTTGCTGTAAGAAAGCAACTATCCGAGCGACCGCGTGTACCGTGCTTTAGTTCCAAGTTCCAAAAGTCGCAAATTTCCTATCATAATTTTTTAATAGATTCAGCGTTCTGCACGTACTGCCCAAGAAAGGTTTCCTTACACAAAACTCTACCCAAAACGTACACATTTGTGTTCGTCGAAATTTGTTAACTGCGGTAGATTCGACAGATTTATAATACTAAAAAATTTATCAATGACCACAATATGTAAAGAATATACCGATGGGCGGTGGCTAAACACAATGGCGGGCTCGGCCTTTGGTAAGAAGCAAAATTAATAGAACAACTCCGCCTATACAGAAGGAGCAGCGGCTCTCCGACAATATCATTTTCCTAAACACGCTGCTCAACAATCGTTTACGGGACCGACAACGTCCCAGAACACCGTTTCCGTGAATGATGTTGCATCCTGCCAAGGCGTAATGTTGGTTATGAGAATGTGGAAAAAGGCTTTCGGGCGAAAAAACTGCGAGTGCAGTACTATGCCCATGCACGGTGCGTATCGCCTTCGTTAGGTGAAAAGCGAAGTACCTGCTACTCGCATATCAGGTTCTACTCCACTAATGGTAAGGGAAAAAGAAAGCGGAAGTTTGTGTTTATTCTGTTGGCAATTAATTGTTAGAGCATCAAGGTAGCAATATTACATAGATATTCGACTAACGCTGAGCGGTACTTCTTGAACACTTCAAATCGATTGCGCTACTTGTACTTAATTTACTTTTCCTGTAAGCGGTAAGGAACTCCTGTTTGGTGAATTTTGAAATGGAAAACATCACAATGTTTCCTTCGAATTCCACAAACTTGTCGACTGCAGACTTAAATGCAAACGTAACTGCCATTAATTTTCCCGGTGTTTGGTAACAACTGACTTGGCCGCCGACATTCTGAATGCACTGTGCATTCTTTTCAACACTGCCATAATCTTAGCGGACGATCTTTCAGTCTACATAATGTTTTTGTCACTCTCCAACATCATACTCAGTGTTGCCACGTATTTGGGAAACTATCTGGCTCCCGTTCTTTTAAACCCTGCTTAAACAGGAAGTCTACTTTACTGCTTTTTCATGAACTGGGTATTATGGATTATGGCGGTTATTCCCATGCAGCTGCACCTCTTAATCGCTTTAAACCGTTTATAGGATCTTCCATGTCCTATGGTCGTCTGCATACGAGAAGGACAGCCTGGACATCCTGCTTGATGGCCGTTGGCGTCACACACGCCTTTACGCTTCCGTTAATTAGTTTGGATGTGTTTGTCTAACTCTACAGAGCCATACGGCTAGATGGGTGGTGCGGTTCGGCTGCTTCTAAAGAGCCACTGCGTGGTTATTCGACAGCATGACAGATGCTCCTTACAGACGCTCCTGTGGATTGTCATCCTGTATCCCATCGTATTTCTACTTTACAAGCGCCATAAGGAAAGGAAGCGTTACCTGAGAAAAACAGTTAATTTGGAACTGAGGGAGCCGCCGCAAAATCCATCAAGCAGCCCTTGTACCGTGTCAGCAACGCAAGAAAATGTTATTCGAAAGGTCACTGATGCGACGAAGCAAAATGTAGTGAATCTCACCTTAAAATTGACCATCTCAACTGTCTGTAAAAATTGACGACCTGCTTATCAGAGATATCATAGTTTCCATTTTGATGCGTGTCTTTTGACGCTTGTGTGTTTAAAAGAAACCGTTTTTAATAACAGAAATGTTTATGCCTTCAATTCGGTTTCTTAATTTTTTGTATGATAGGTGCCCCATCAAAAAAGCACAAAGAAATCTAGAATGCGAGTACGACCTTTCGTTATGTATACGCTCTTGACTGCTTCGACACTCATCTGTTGGTCACCTGCTCTAGTAGCCTCCAGCCTGACCGTTTTTGACCCGTTAAATGGCTTAGGAATAAGCATCAACCTGTTACTCATAAACATACTACTGCAGCTGCAACCGGTTCTGGACCCATTGTTATTTGCAGTCAGCATCGAGGGGGTTTGAAATGTTTGTGTTGTTGGACTGATCAATTGCAAACTGACCCGACAGTGAACACCTAAATAATTCGAAAAGCTGGCTACAACTTAACAAGGAATGCAGCAGCTACTGCATGATCGCCACCACTTCGCCGATACCGGAGATATTAAACTATGTGCATGCCGCATGCGGCAATTATTGTTACACCGCATATAATAATTATAATAATGTGTTTGAATGTTAATATTAAGCAGCTGACTATTTTGCACAAAGGAGGAGCCGTTTTGCTACTGGCTGATAATCATAAGGTAACACCGTCCAATCTGTGTGTCTAATCTGAATATGAAACAGAATTTTGCGATTGCTTTATTCGTTTAGTTGTTTCGAAAACTGCTCGGTGTACTTACTTCTCTAGCGATTTGTGTTGAAATAGCTCTTACCATGATGCTCCTGGTCCTTATGGAAGCTCTAATTTCGCTGAGCTGCATGGTCCGTAAGTCGTTAGTTATCAACTTCGTTCTCGAGTATTGTTCTGTATTACCAGAGGATGCTGTCACACTGCTGTTGACATTGGGCCTTGCCAGTGTCTTAACACCAGCACGATGATAGTGATCCTGTGGTCGGCGAAACTACGGAGAAGGGACGACGTTTTCGGTATACTTAATGTTTTTGTGCCTGTTGGAGCATTGTTGTGGCTTCGTTGTAATGTGCGCCCCTTATGCAAAGACTGACTTTCAAGTACCGGAAATCAGCCATTTCGATAAAACATTTTGTTTGTGCAGATTCTTCCTCGTAGCACTTATGCGATTTCCTGTTATCATGTTATAGCAGTGCCGACTACGAAAAAATGCTGTGAATCCGGTGGTCAAATAAAAGCCCTGAAGATATCGGTTATGGAAACCTAGAAATGGTTTTACATCCATTAACTAAAAAAAGAAAGACAGCCGTAACAACTCTGGATTTACGTCAACAGAGTCAAAAGGTCAACAACCATCTTCGAGACAATTAACTGGCATTCATTTTTTAATTTGCATTGACATACGAGGTGAAATTAATAAACTACATGTACCTAAACGCCCTGTTCTGCCGCAGCAGGTCATCGCAAGGGCACGTACAGTTCTTTCCATTTACTTTGCTTCAGTGGAACCGTCACACACATTAAAAATTCGAATATGTCACATCGGCAAACCCACAACTTCCGCTTGGTGAAATAATGATTATATTAATCACTAAATTAGCAAATTCTACAAAACTATTCATTCGATTCATTCGATTTCTTTCTTTTAGAACGCGAAAGACCTTTCATTATTGTTCATGCTTCGAGGACGTACGCAACAACTACTTCCAATAATTGATTGAAAACCATACGGGCATACGAGGTAAAACTGGGGATGGCTATTGTACTGTAACGTCCACACACTAGGCGCGAATAGTGAACATCACAGTATTAAAAATGCCGATTGTCTTGGAAGTAACTTCCTTAGTTTTTACGTGCATTAGATGAGGAACAACTTAGTGCGGCATCGTTTTTGAAATTCTTTTAGGCACTTTTTCACTTCTGTAGTTAGCAAATTTCGTTACACCCGTGCGAGGGAATTCAGAAATCACCATTATTTTTATTTGAATTACGAGTATTATTGTATAGCAATGCAGAAAATAGATTCTGTTAAGAAATTCTGGAGCGATCTGTCGTTGGCAGCTGGCTTACATACAAGCGCAAAATCTAATGACAACCAGACCATCGAAACTTTTACAGCTTTAGCAGTTATAGGATATTATGAATTAATGAAATGTTGATGAAAGCATCTTCCAGAGCATATGTATATGCTTGAAATTATAGCGCCGGCAAGTCAGGCATCCCCATTTCGGTATTTAACCCAGAATGCTGGCGGCAGCGCATGCGTTGCAGATGGAAACCGGCGGGCAGACATTGGCGTTGATGGGGACCTGAAAACCGGCGCCGTTCAGCAGGTGCAGGGGAATTCCGCTAATGAGGGAGCCTCCACCCAGGTTGCCAGCTTGTGGCAATAGTTGCGTGTTGGTGTTGCCATTATTCTGGCACTGCGCCTGACCTGCAATACGAAAACCTCAGACGCCTGTGGAGTTGAAAGGTCATCGCACTAACTTACCACATTGCGCCTTCTGTTCGGCGGTACAGGTGGCGCCGGCACCGGTTTGCGGAGGAGACACCGGGAGGTTCGGTGCAGGAACCGGCAGACTAGGAGAGGGCACGGGAACACTCGGGGCAGGAGCAGGAACACTGGGAGCAGGAGCATTTGGAGTCGGAACACCTGGAGCCGGTACACCGGAGACGGGAGCATTCGGAACCGGTACATTTGGAACTGGGGCACTCGGTGCCGGTACGCTTGGAACCGGAGCCGGCGCGTTAGCGACTGGTGCAACCGCCTGACGAGGAAATCGCAGCGCGCTGGTGCTGGCGCAAGCGATGATCAGAATGACAGCAATGGTCTGCATTTTAACAAGAATGGCTGTAAAAGTAATAGCTAGTGGTTGCTAAACCTTGGAGATTTTTTTGGTGATTTTAATGTACTTAATGAAGTAAACGTAGCGCTCTTCAACTTATATATGGTCAGCCAAAACTGCGCGATTTTGCCCCCTGAACTTGGAAAACATTGTTTTGAGTCTCGACAAAATGAATGAGTAAGTGATTTGAATTCATCTGACTGGCAAACAATAGCTCCCACAAAAGTCTTCGCATAAACGTTTGCTGTTGGTGCGGCAGGTACATTGTGCTTGGTTGCGCGCTGCTGAAAAATGTTATGATGGTTGTTGCACAACACCGTGAGGTGAGCCGCAAAACAATTAATATCTTAGAACTGTTGTAACTTTGTTGCGCTACTTAAAATTATTTTTCAAGAACGATCACGTCAGCTAAATGACTCATTAGTGTTTTCTGTATTACACAAATTTTCAGTCGTCTGTACTAAGTAGTGACAGCCGTTCGGTAGCTCTTTTCTGTTAGTGATACAATACTTGTTATTGCAGACAAACAAGCATACTGTTAAACCGGCTACTGACGAACGTACACTTGTTTACGATCATGCAGAAATATTGTAGCAGACAAGCTTATGGTTAGTAGCTTACAATTAGTACAGGTAGCTTACAGTCGTTATCACGGTACGAATTCCCCGTGCTGCTCTGTCGAACTTCATAATAATATCTATATTATGTAAGCGAAAATTAATACGACTGTCCCAAAATCAATCAATTATTTACATGAGAACGAACCATATATACTCGTATTTACAATTTAATACAGTAAACGTTTAACGTACGCAGCAAAATGCTTAATCTCACATATTTTGATCCGTATTTGACATTAAAAACCAACAAAGATACAACTTCACTATCCGTGAATAAGCAATTCGTACAAAAGTCACAAAAAAGGAAAGCCTCCAACATGTGGATGAATCATGGATCCACTGCGGCTAATTCCATCTCGGCAAAAATTATCAAAGTGACAATCGTGTACTTGTACTCACAAACAATAACAAGCTAACAAAAAAGTAAAAAATAAACTTCGCCTGTACAGAAAGCCGTAACAGATCAAGAACCATTCGTTTCTCCCAACGTCCAAAACTCTTCCACAGCCGCCTATCGGCCCGCATCGTTCCCGAACATGGTGCGCATGAATGTCGCCTTCTCCGCTGCCAAGTCGTGCAGAGCGTCCTGTCGGCCACAGAACTGCGAAAAAGTCCGCACAGTGTTGTTGTGCCGTTTCCATTGCTGTTCCAAGAAGCCGTACGTGTCGTCCGGGAGGTACCAAGTTCCGTCGCCCATTTCCCAATCTTCGCAATTGTATCGCATTCTACAACACCCAGACAACGAAATTTCAGTTTTCCTGCACATGTATTAACACTGCCAATTAACACTACACTACACTGCCAATTTCTGCACTGATTTTATAGAACTAATCATTTTAATACAGCGAAATTTCAGCTTTTCTGCGCAGGTACATATCCACATTAGGTATACAGCCTACACTGCCAATTTCCGCACTGACTTTTTAGAACTAATCTTTAAATTTTTTAGACTAAAGCATCAATTAAAAACAAATTACGACAGAATTTACCACATTTTCTATACAAGGCAATCAAATGTTCAAGCATTATATAATAGTAACTTTATTCAGTGAACGCACAAAAGGCTGCGCCTGCTGAGACAACATCTATGTTTTACTGTTAAAACTAAATAAACTGCAATGGAATTTACCTCTGCAGGGTGTTCCATTCGTGAGCATACAGCATGCCCATGATGTTGGCGGGGCAGTCACCGATGCGACGAATAATCTCGTTCTCCGGATACTCTTCATCGTGACTACAAATGCAATGTTTACATACAGAGCAGCATGCCTGTCAATGTGAAAGCTGACACAGCAAACCGACACCTACTCCAATCCGAAGCCCTCGAAGCGAATCAGATACGTCTGCACCCACTGATCCTTGGGGATATCCTTCAGTTGGCGATTGGGTCCGAACAGCGTCGCAGGTACCGCCACTCGATAACAACAGTGGATCTGCCGAGAAACGTTTATCGATAAATGCATCAACTTTCAACGAAACCTCAACAGTCAAAATTTCGCAATATCCCCCATATGAATTTACAGTCAACAAATCTTTTCAAAATGCGACAAAGACTCAAAACATTGCTGCAGCAGCTGAAATTAACTAGTTTGTGTCAGGTTTCAGTTGCAACTGTAGCTGAAATCGACTTACAGTGCCACTGAAATACAATCCTTTAGACATCACCAGGACAGCCTCCCCTGCAACAACAAAGAACAAATCAGAAAACGAAAACAGAAGGAGCTAGCGTTCCACTGCGGGTCTGTATCTGTGCAATACTTAGTTCTGATTACTGAGCGAATAACGTTATCCCACAGATAGAGTTCTCGTCAAACCTAAAGACAGCCCTTGAATTATGTCTGATTTCTGATCTCTAATGTAAGCTTTGCAAATACTACAGCTGATTAGTTCTACAGTCCCAGCAATGAAGAAAACAGAAAACAAACAGTACACTGGCGAAGAATGGATCCACAGCGGTCGCAATATCCAGCGAGAGCAGTAGTCGTGCTTAACTGTAGTTCACCATTTGCGATTTACTGTAAGCAGCAAACCAGCAACATACCTACGGCGAACTTCATTTCACGACGAAATCGTCCGCTGCGATGGTCCCGATTCAGCAGTTCCTGGACAGTGGACTGCACAAATTCCATGCGACTCTCCCATGGTTTTGCGATACTCGGAGGGATACGGACACAACGCTGTTTCTTGCATTCCGTGAACTTCTTGGTGGCAACAGGTCCCCACGGTGGCATTGTCGAACAGCTGTTCTTACGGAGTGTTAATGCTTCACAATACAAAAAATAAGATAATAACTCCCAATTATAAAACGAAAGAACACCGCCACAAAACAAAATGTGCGACTAGTTCTTCACCGATGGAAATTACGAACCAAGACCCAAAGAGTCAAGACAAACAAGAAACAGACGAAAAATTTTGTGAATGAGCGCCAAAATCACCAGCGCAGCACCGATCGATTAAAACTGTCTCGCTGACAAGAGACAAGTGAGTAATTCAAGTTTGAGCGTGTTCAGTAGGTTGTTTAACATAACGATGAGTCACTCGCTCAAACCAGCCCAACCACAGTACGTACGTAAGTGTCGTACATTTAAAAGGTTCATTCATTTATTTAATTGGCGGTATACAAAGTCACAATTTTCTATCATAATAAAATGTATAAACATAATTATACTAATTCCACAGCCTCAGCCGACAGCAGAAATAGGCGGCCTAATGATACAAAACATCTCATCTAAATTAGCCGAAGCTGGTGCTGTTCCCATGACCGAGGCCGCATTCCCGTGTGAATTTCAATGCTGAACCGCTGGCGCAGATACTCAATCGCCCGTATCTCGCCCGTTTCTCGGCGTATCATCTGCCCGAGTTCGGTTATTATTATTATTATTATTATCTTCCTGGAGCAGACAACCCATTCAGGGGACTTAACAATGACATCGCAGGTGTTAAAATGACATTGCTCTGTCTGGTCGAAAACATAAACTGAAAAAAAATCGAACAAAACAAAAAGACAGAAAAACCACTTATCCAGCTAAAGTGCTAAAGTCCATCACCTTGAGAGCAAACTTAAAAAACCCAACACTTTCCGAATTCAGGATTTCCGCGTTAACTTTCCGCACATGCTCGAACAGTTGTTTCAGCCGCATAGCAAAAGTGGACTCTCCCATTTTTTTCTTCACTTTTGTATCGACACGGCTAGCGATCCGCAGGTTGTAGTGTTGTCGTAAATCTCGGAAGTTTACAAGTCGGGACAGATAATCTGGCACGGGAAATTTGTCTTTGTTCCAGATCTTGAAAAGCCACACCGCTTCGCTCTGCTTCCATCGATGGAGGATGGGAGTGACTCCAAACTCCTGGTACAAGGTCCGCTTGAAAGGGCCTTTGTATCCATTCATGGCCAGTAGTGCTTTGCGTTGTAGCCTAGCCAGCCCTTCCTTCAGTGCCACAGACGCCGGCGCCCACACAGTCGAACAATAGTCCAAATGTGACTGGACGCAGGCGTGGTAAAGGCTCCGAAGTTGAGACCGACCTAGCCCTTCCCTTGCCCGATTAATCATGGATATCCCGTAGTTTGCATTCTTTTCAACTCTCGCGAAGTGCTTGCTCCATTTTAGGTGCTGATCAATGTCGATTCCGAGGTAGCGTACGCACTTTTCCACTTCCAGCTTCTGGTCATTAAGTTTCACTGACGGTATAGATTTATCTCTGTGCTGCTCTGAACAAACATACATTAACTTGCATTTCCGTTCATTCAGACACAAAGAATTTTCGTTGAACCAGGAAGTTATTTGACCAAGCGCATGGTCAATTTTCTCCCTGGCGGCGGCTTTCGTCTTGTCAGTAGCATAGGCAATTGACAAGACGAAAGCCGCCGCCGGTGACCATGCGGGAGGCGTCTGGTCCCAGAGGTCCGAGTGTTTCGACGCCTGTTGCACGGAACATGTAGCCCGGTGTGATGTGTGAACATGTAGTCCGGTTTAGAAGGTTTATACAGTCATACTTTAATACTTTTCGTAGTTAAAATTGTCTAAATTTACGGGTTATAAAATAATGCGAATTGCAACAAGCGTATACCATGTTTCAAAATTTTTTGTCACTTTTTTTATTTTAACGAAATGGCTACGCGCGAGAGCCTCCCGCGCTATGAGTTTTGGCTACGCGCGAGAGTATCTCGCGCTATGAGTATTGACTACGCGCGAGAGTTTTTTTCCCGCACAAAACAAACTACCAAAAAACAGTTTAAATCAGTGTGTTTATCACCACATGGCAACCAATAGGTCACCTTTTAGTGCACGAATTACAAAATCTGACCGTACCGGCATTTTACATTTTCTGATATTTTAAGTATACTCAACTATCAGCCGTTATGGCGTCAGAACTTAAAGTGGGAAATCGTTATGAATCTTACGCGGAGGTTTTGAGAGCGGTGGAGCATTGGAGCCAGCGAGCACACCAAGTGTTTATAAATCCCGGCGGCAATGCGAAAACGTCAAAGACGCATCCGCTTCACGACACGTTCCCCTACAGCTCAGTGAAGCTGGTCTGCAAAAAAGCTGGCGCTTACCGCCCACACCGGCGGAATTCCCCTACTTATTTGTGCATTCCACGCAATAAAGACATGGAAATTCCAGATCGCAAAAGAACAGTTGAATGTCACGGAGAAGCAAGGTCTGCTGACGGCTTTCCGTGGTTTACTGTACGCGCCACAAGAAGGCATGTTCCAAGAACGGGAAGCCATATTTCTGCAGAGTTGCACCGACAGGCTGCGAAGTTACTGCGAAAAGAATTGGGCGAAGGATTCGGCGATGTGGTGCATGGCAAAGCGGCGTGAGCTGAGAACGTTTGGCAACAACACCACAAATCGAATAGAAAGGTTTTTCCTTACTGTGAAAACAGCGCTGCGCGGGTCGGGACGATCGATTGCCAAACGTTTTCATCTAACGATATCGGCATGCCGCGGCGGAAGTCGGCCGGGATACCCCACAGTCCGCCGCGTCCAGGAGAAACGCCCGCTATGCGTGCGGTTCGGATACTTGCTACCCATGTGGAAGGTCAGAATGAAGTCGCATACCGATTCGGTGAAGAATTAGTGGTGCTTCGAGAGGATATCAACAATCTGAAAACAAGTGGCTCGGATTTGGAGCTGAGACTCCTTAACGCAGGAGTCTATCTGCTGCGCATTGCGTTTCCCCAGAAAGGAGGGTTAGAACTTCCTGCAGAGTTGCCTCTGTGCCAAGAGAACGACCAGTGCTTCGCAAGGCCACGTTTCCACATGCGGATGCATGGAGTAAGCATTGTGCAGCCCATGTTTAACGGCGTAAACCACTACGTTTGCGCGCTGTACAACTGTGACATCCCTGGTCTCGCCCGGATCTATTGTTCGACGGGTCGACTGCCCACAGACTGGCTGAAACTGCAGTTACACTTCCTGTTTGCCCATCCAGACAGCAAGGGCCAGGTCAGCATCGAGTACATCCCGGTCTATGGACAATCCCCTGGAGGAAATAACTGCCTAATATATTCGTTTGCCTTTGCGTATGACCTGTTACTGGGCAAGCAGATTCAAAACGCCAACTACGCCCGGGAGGACGAACTGCGCCACTGGTTTTTAACCATCATTGAAACCGGCACATTGCCGCCTCCTCCAAGATCGCAGGGCCGTAATCCTCGAACGAAAACCACGGTGAAAGATCATAATTGCTGCACAGTGACAGCAGCATATACGGTGGAAATACGCCGGCGGTTGCATCTGCCCAGTGGATACAGAACAGTTTCGCTGTGAAAATTGCTCACATACTGAATGATACAGTAACTGTTCTGTTTCTAACTTCACCACCTTAAGAAATGATAAATTTGACGTACCTGGACGTGTCTTCGAAAAATCATACGAAAAACTGTACAATTCCCAGTTTGTCCCATAAATTGGCGGTCGAAAATATTCCGTAAGATATTCTCGCGCGGTTTTTTCTCTTCAACGTTTTGTTCGTAATTTTCTTGTGCGGGAAAAACTCGCGCGTAGTCAATACTCATAGCGCGAGATACTCTCGCGCGTAGCCAAAACTCATAGCGCGAGAGTATTCTCGCGCGTAGACATGACCTTATTTTAAATTTAATCTGCGTACAGATAAGCGCATTTACCGTTTACAGTAAGAAGCATAAGATTAAATTTTAGTACCCTTTTTATTAGTCACAGAATAGCCGATGGTTTAGTAATTAATAATAATTTTATGTTAATGGGCGAACACTGCTGAGAGCGGCCCGCTCCACTTCCCATCTGGTTTTCAGCTTTTCCATAAAAGGCGTCACCGCTACCAAGCTCAACACTAGGATACACAACATGTACAAAATCACCACCACCAGCTTAAGGAAAGCAGCAAATTGCCTCCAGATTTCTCGGTGGATATGGATGATTTCCGGTCCGGACGTGGGCAGTAGCGACAACGGTTTACTGGGCACCCCGGCATTGCAGGAAAGGACATTCATTACGCGGCTCGCTGCGGCGACAATCTTCGGCGGACTGGAGGTGCGTGACTGCAGGAATGCGATGATGTACGTGAAGAACAATAATATGGTGACCAGGAGCATCGTGTCAGTGATGAAAATTCCTGGAGAAATAGATTATTCATAATAATTATTCAAAATAAAGCTAGTAAAGTAAAGTAAAGTAACAGTAACAGTAACAATAAAGTAAAATAAATTAAAGTAGAATCAGTATTACTCTCAAAACTTTAAATTACAGTAAAGGAAGTTAAATTAGCTGTTTTTTGAAACAGTTAATTCTAATTAATTATGAGGTACATAATTTATTTACCAAAAAGTGGCGTTTTTGAGCTAGGCGGCATCATAAAACTTAGATAAAAATGCAGTCCAGCGAAAAAAATAATCTCCATAACGCCCATAATCATGCTGATCCGCACATCCGTCATACAGGCAAACAGCAAACCCGAAGCGACCGCCATAACGATGGACGCCAGCGCGATAGTGTAGAGAAACTGACAAGGTCGGTGCTCGAAGTACAGCCGAATCCACGGCAGTTCCTTCCCGTACTTCCGGCGCAAATCATCCATATTCTCCGGCACCATAAACTGGCCGCCTTTGACCAGACGCCACTGATGACCTTCCATGTAGGAGCGAACGTAGACGGCGTTGGTATGGAAGTACAGGCGCACTTCGTGGTCATTAATTAATGGCGATCCTAGGCAGCGTAATTATTAAATGCGATTTACTAATTCATTCCGTATTATCCTGTTGTAGTATTTCTAGGTGCAATTACCGAACACGAGGTCACATTCCATGGCGGTAAATGGCCAGTAGCGTGTGTCGACGAAGCATGGCGCCTTCAGTGTGGCTCGCGGATACCACAACACTTTTCCGGTATTGTACACCATCGCGACGGCTGGTGCAAAGGCATTGGATTCCTTAGCATTCCAGCTGGAATTACAAGGAAGCGGCTTTTCGTCATTCGATACATCGTTCATTTTAACCGGCTTCCGGGATCCAATACAACGCATTTAATTTCAGTTATGTGTGTTTGCTTCCAGTAGGAAGGAATTATTCTATGCTCGTATCCTGTCTAGTAGCTAGAACGCGATCGAATATATATGCATACGGCATGCAAGAATCAAGTTAATTGCTCCAAAATCTGTTAATGGCTTCAGGTACCTGTTAAGCAGATAAATATTCGGATGGTAGATTTCGCCATCGCTAACGGGAATGACGGTGAGATTGGAGAATTTCGCCGCATCCCATTGTAATCGTGGATCATACCATTTGAAGCCCATTTCGGCATTTATGGTGATATAACCCTGGTATTCACTCTGAAAATTTGCCCAACGGCCCAAAAGAACATTTAAAGTTCTCTGCAAATTTGACTGTACCTATCGTCAAAGTAAGTAATCAGAATTAAGCAATCTATGACAATACGCACTTTTATGTTTAATATTAACAGAAAATGCCTACCCTAGCATCGCACATGCGATTCTATGCTTCGCCTGGACACGCAAGAATAATAATTACGAAACTTTACATAAGCATTAATGTTCTTACTGTCGAGAATCAGCAATAACTTTCTTTTTCCTGATAAAGTTAGCGATTTTAGTAAATATTTTCATGTAACTACAATACTCGTACTGTGGTTGCATGCCGACTCACCACATCCATAATTCCCCGTAAACTGATGGACATGGACACGTTGATGGACTGTCCATCGGCCAATCGCGGTCCAGTACGTTTGTCATAAATAGAGTTATGAATAACCAACAAGCGCAGTAACTTTTCGTTCTCACTTCGGTCTTCGCCCACGAGGAATGCCCCGTACACGGGCGCTGCTGACATAGTCACTTCTTCTTCCGCCGAATCCACCATTTCTCCATCCATTTCCACATCTTCATGGTCGGCATCAACGTCACTGCCTTCTGAACAACATTAAGCAAACCATGCAGGGTAATATGATTAAATGTTAAAGTGCTGGAAATACCGGGTAAATTTCGGATAACTAATGAGGACGTACCTGTAAAGCTATAATATTCTGTCTAGTTTTACAGGTACGTCCTCATTAGTTATCCGAAATTTACTCGGTATTTCCAGCATTTTATCATTTAATCATATTAAACTATAAGCACTTACAATTATGTTATATAATAACTGTTACAAATTTACAGCAGTACGGGTACAATAAATTTTCCCAGCTTACAGTTAACATTAGTTTTAATAACGGCACTACAATTTGACACATACATTTCACAGCAATCACAATTACTCGTACATGATTTTTAAACGTGGTCATTGCGGTTGAAAATGGAATTAGAGTACAAAAGCGTAACGTTTTACTAAACCAAAATACAATAGTTGCGTCTTTATAATAATAGTTACCCGAAGAAGGAAGTAAGGAAGCTCGAATGGATGCTAACCAAAAGGCAGCAATGTACAAGACAAAATAATTTCCGAATCCACGCTTTTGCAGCTGCATTCCTGTGCGTTTTCACAGCTGCACCGTGAACGTTAACAATTAGGAAGTAGTTTCTGATTTGTATTCTGTGAAATGCTTTAATCGGAGAAAAAACAGTATGAAATACTATTTATACGCGTTCTATATCTTCCTTTCTTAACACTGCGACTTTTAAAGACAAGCAATCATAGCTGCCTGTACAAAGGTCACCACTGAGTGATACGCATCTGCCGTCGCAAGTATCTACAGGACGCTTCTATTATACACGGTGAAGACGGCAGCTAATAAGTAGGTATCACAAACTCACGTGTATTATGATTTATAAAACTTGTTGTCTAAGCCTCGTAATTCTGTAAGTCGTATGCTTATATAGATATTATGCAATAGTTATCAAGATTTGCGCACGTAGAAGACGAAGCACACATTAGCACACTTTCTTATATTTTTTGTACTCGCATCCACAATGTGTCCCAAAATTTAAAATTAACACACACGTCAGATTTTTCCAGTTGGTATATTAATGGCTCAAAATGAGCACAAAAACGATGTTGGTAAAAACAACTTCTGGGTTGAGCTCACAATTAACAATACCTAGGCGTTAACAATGCATCTGCAAAAAAACAATACATCAACTTTATAGTGGCTGAGCCAAAATTACAGTTTGCTTATTTAATTTATTCAGTTGTACGTCAAACCAATAAGAAATGCACAGGAAATGGTATACAATAACAAAACTACAACGCGCAATTGTGCTGCCACATCCGTCCATGTCGTTTTACATTCCGGACGCTGGTGGAGCGTGGGACCGTCCGTTAGCAAGAGTTGCCCACTGGCTCGTGGACGTTCCCGCCTGAAGAGTTTCCCGGGAAATTGTCGTAGGCAAAGCGAAAGCACAGCAATACAACGCGGCACGGACGCGTAACTCTGGGCCAATCGATCCAGCAACGAAGTGAATATCAAAATCGTTAAAATCACAACCGGTATCCCGGAGGTCAGGTATGCTGAAAAGTTTAACCAAAGGTCACCAAGTTATCATTACTTTATACGTGCCTATACATATTTAGGCTTTTTTATATTTTTTGTATATCTTTACTTACACTGCACATTAAGTAAATCTATACTTTTTTAAATTTTTCGGCACACAAGAACTGTTTTTGGTGTCCCACTAGAAAGCGCTAGACACGAACCAATTTTGGGGAGATAACGAGCCGGCGGTATGATCATCCACATGGTCGCTCCCAGCGCCATGGCCGTCACCAACTGCAAGACTGCCATGAGATGCCGCACATTAGCGTCATCCGTGCAAAGTAAAAACAGCGCGGTGATCAACAGCACATGTGGCGCCATAAAGCAGGAGCGCAGAAACACGGAGGGTACGCGGGTAAAGGTCAAGTAGAAGCGGATAGTGTCGTAGTTATCCAGGATGTAACTTGTCGTGCGCTCCACGGAAGTATCACTGATGTACCATTCTCGCCGGCTGCTTGTGGCGCTGACTCCCGTTCCCGTCTCGAAATCCACCGTTTTCGAATCGGGATAGATTTGGAATGTGGAGCTGTCACGGGATGCGTGGCCTGCAGTTAAGTAAGTATAAGAAAGATGATAGATCTGTGCACATTCTCATGGTTAACATCAATTTTAAGTACTGATTATGAGATACAACATTTTATGATTGTGGTTTCATTAGTCCGTACCAAAGATAAAAACACAGATGTGGCTGTCAAATGGCCATTTGGACATATCCATCGAGCAGGGCACATCCAGGGAGGATGGCGGTAGCCAAATTAATTCGCCGTGAAAGTATCCGATGACCAATGACGGAGCAAACACATAAGTATCGCGCGCTTTATATCTACGTCACACACAATCTTCGTACAGGTTAGATATTTCGATATGATCATAAGTACATTTTACGGATTTTGATTGCACACAGATAAAATTAAAGTACAATGCGTACGTGACCTCAAGCATAATAAAATACTGTTTTATGAGAAATAGTTAAAAAAAAGTGATGCATAAGTATAATGGATGACCGCGTCCGTGCAAGAGCAATGTCGGTATGACCGTACTGTATACGACTAACCGGTTGAAAAGCTGCACTTCCGGTATGTACACATCCTGATCGCTGAAAGGCAGGCTGGATAAATTGGCATGTTGATCAGGAAACCATGTCAGCCGGCCATCGTACCACTCCAGCTTCATCCATGCACTGACCGTTACACGCTGTTTGTTGCAATCCTATATAATGTCCGCGTTTTCACAATATCCAAAATTGTCAATACGACTGTACCGTCTATACGAGTTTGCTTATAAACGTCTTTGTATACACTATAGCGTCAAATGAAAGCCTACATTCCTTTTTCTCTCTAGCTGGCTTATGTTTACTGGTCGATATTTACTTTTACATTGGTCATAACGGTGTGCGTTAATCCAACAATCAGAACTTACAACTTCCTGTATGCCGGTGAGAATCATTCCCATTTTAAGCATAAAAATCTGCGTGTTGTTGGCGTTGGGCATAACTGGTTTGTCATAGCGAATTAGCAGCTGCTCCCGTAATCGCTTCTCGGCCACAGACCTTTCGCGGCCTTTGAAAATAGTTCCGGTGACACCATCTGGCAAGAAAGTTAACTTATCGTTTTATGTACTGAACGTCTGTGTCCATAGTACGCAGAATTTTTCCATAAATCCCAGTTTAATTAAGTACATTTTTCCACATAAATGCGTAGATATGACGTCTCTATTAATCGAGCTGTAATCGGAGCTTGAGATTATAACTATTTATATAACATATTTTGTTTGTGCAAGAATACGATTCCTAAAACCTGGCAGCATTTTATGGGGAAGGGAAATCGTGAATCGTTGTTTCGACGATTAACATTGTTTCCATACCGAAACATTAAGCCGGTATTAAACCGAACATTAAATAAAACAGAAACAGCACGAGGCTTACCGTTTGCTGGACTGGTACTTTGTTTGCAACTTCCCTTGACGCTCCAGCATATGAGTATTAGTGCGATGGATAACGGAAACTGTTTCTCCAAAACTTCCATTGCCTTAGCATAGAATTTCTGGATTCCTGATGGCGCGCGAGTTGAACTGAGTCTACCTTATGATATTTTTATGAGCACTCCATGATCAGTTATCAGTAATATAGAAAGGTGAATCACAATATGACATAGAAATAAAGTGGAGAATTATGGAGATTCTTTCCACGCTCTTAGTACAGAAGATGGAAATCCCGAACTCTAAGCCGGGCACATAGTTTTTGAAGAAGCTGCACGCAGCACTTACTGCACTTTGCGGCAAGAACGGATGTAGTACAGTACTGTTTGCAACTGCGTGGAAAGAAAGGCAAAGAGTCAAGAATTGGTTAAGTATTATTATAATATTATCGTTTTAGCACATACAGATATATTACACTAAAAAAAGATCGAATAATGCTGCCGAGGTTTTCAGTTCGATACATGCGTCAAAACACTTTTTAGTACTGGTACGTCCTATGCTATATTTATAGAGCTAATAGAAGTACTTCTATAGATATTCCCACATGTGCAGAATACGTTCAGCGCAAAATATGCGTATTTTGCTGGTCGAGTGTCTTAGAATGAAAATTAGATCACGAATGGCGATAGCAATCTTACATCGACACCGCAAAGTCCTTTCTTCGCCTTTTATCGATAACAAACAGTCACTATCAATTAAGGATAAAATCTGATTATTTGCAAATTCAATGGAGCTTTGCCGGTTATACGAGGGCAATATTACATGTACACACCCATTTTTCCGCTAGGTGGAAATTTGCAATGGAAGTGCGTTAGATGTTCTCGGTAGGTTAGGGATTCGTATTTTGGCCCCAAATTAATTGGACGCAAATTACAAACTTAAATCAAATAAAGTAATTATTCTACTAAAGTAATTTTAAAGTAGGTTTAAAATTAATTTAATCCAGCCACAACCATAATCTTTTATCAGCATTGTAAATAATAATACATAATTGTATTTTACAAATAAGTAAAATTAGTTCGATACGTATGCAGCTATTATGTAAACAGTAAAACTGTTCATTTCAGTATTTAAAAAAAGGAAAAGGTACGCATGTCGTGACTCCGTCACAGTTGTTTGTAGTGTTGCAGGTATTTACACGGCAGTAAATTGCTAGATTTCTTTTGAATGGTAAACATAACATTATTTACATTAGTTTGCACCGAGCGCGAAGCGCGAGGTGCTGCAATAAGTCTTCGTCAAGAGCATCAAATTTGTCTGACGCCACGAAGAGCGTACGTCACGCTTTTCCAATTCCACAATCCCAATACCATTCCCCAGTGGTATTGGCGTTCGTCGTGCAATATGTGGTTCGCAACCACCGCTAGTACATCACTATTAATAATTGTAATATTTTAATAAATTTATCGTGAGTACTAATACTATGTTTTTGTACGTACAGATCTGTACTCAGCGGATTGGTTTTACGAATTCAAAAAAACCTCTCAAAAACCAACGCAAAAATTGTGTGCACGTTGCGACCGCCAAGTGGCGCAGTCAGTTTATATAGGCGTGAGCGAAACGCCTCCGCTTTTCACTACAACAACAACAACCTGGCTGATTGAATTTTAATGTTTGTTTTTTTATTTGGAAAATAGCCTCGGAATAGTCTTTTCCCTGATGTACGCTCGCGATAGTTGCAACTAACATCCATGGATTCTGTCGTAGCGAGTTTAACGAAAAACCGCCGCACCACGTTCGAGCGGATCGAGAAGTTCCTATCCAAAGATTACTTCGCGGATGTGGGTCTGCGTGCACGCATCTATCCTGCCACGCAGCCCGTTGTCAGCATTCTGCACTGGAATGCGAGCGCTGCTCGCACCCAGCGTCCTCTCGTTCCCCACCCGTCGCACGATTCTGATTCCGATGGGGACGATGACAGTGGACCGGAATGGAAGGTGCCAGTGCCTGGTCGGGATGCCTTCGCCCCGTACACCCTCGGTGAACCCTTCGGACCCACTTGGTCGACGCACTGGTATGTTGAATGTTCATTGCTGAAATCGCAGCGACGGCGTCACTGATCTTAAAGTTTCAGAGTGTAGATATTTCAGCTCTGCATTTGTATCGAAATAGTCATTTTTTGTTACCGTGCTTGAAACAATTCGCTATATTCGAGAAAAGCGTCTTACAGTATAAGCCATAGTAATCCAGGTGCTTAGAACTCTTCGAAATTTTTAATATTTTTTCAAAATTACTAAAAATTGTGTAACGAAATTCGGATCTAATGTTCAGTTTCAGTGCTGCCTTAAATTAATGATATCTTTAATGCTAATCTTGCAAACTTGATTTAATTGTTGATCTGGCAGTTCATGGTAAATAATTTTACATTAATAAATTATTCATGTTTTAGTTTCTGTCGCTGTCAATTCCAAATTTTAATTAAAAAATTTGAAATTCACGTGGCTGTGAATTTATTTACGATTCTTTCGCTATTCGTCGTGAATTGTCGTTGTATGGGTAAATTTGCGGTTGCAGGTTGCTACTGTTTTGCTTAACAAAATTCCGGAAAAAATTCTGTTCAAGAAAATGAATTTTTCAAATAAATTTTGGAGTCCTTTATCAACCGGAGGTTATGTAGGTTCATCGTGGATATCTGTATCCCGGAAGCGTGGATCGGGCGGGAAGTGCATCTCCTGTGGGATTCCGGCAGCGAGGCCATGTTATACGAAGCCGGCGGGACCGTCCCATTGCAGGCCTTTAGCGGGGGCATTGATTTCCAGATGCGCGACTGCTACGTGCTGAGCAAGCAGCTGACAGCCGGTCAGCGCCAGCGGGAATTATGGCTGGAAGTCGCGTGCAACGATCTCTTCGGAGCGGGTGCCGGTGGGATGATTAATCCACCGGATCCCGCGAAGACCTTCAGCGTCAAGAAGGCCGCGGTGGCGCTCTTCGATCGTGAAGTGTTTGATTTGTTCACGGATTTCGAAATACTGTTCGGCATGGCCAAATGTCTCCCGGAGAATAATCCGAGGAATTATCAAGCCATGTACTTGGCTAACCACATTATCAACACTTTTAAGGTATGTTCCAAATCGTTTACGAAAGTGGGAATCTGGAGATCACAGTACGAGTGTGTGAATCTGCTGAAGAAATTCGAAGGAAAGTGCACGGATAATTTATTACTGTTATTCTCTTGGCTCAATATGGAGGCGCAAATTTTGTATGTTCAAGTATCAATTGAATATTGCATTGCCGTAGTATAGTGGCTGGTGCCGAGCTGTTGTTATTCAACATATAGCACCTGCAGAAGAATTTCGAAAAGAATATTATTCTGGGGGAATCATTACTGGTAGTTTGGTAGTGCTTTTTTATGCTGTTGATGGCGAATGAGTTCAAGTCTTTATACGATTTGCATTTTGTACCAAACAGTTATTTTACTCTTTGTGTGCTTTGCTTGGTTTTGTTGACGGCTAATAGGCCCAGACGCCCAGTACTGAGACTGATGGTTAATGAATGACGATGATTTGCAAACTTTAGTATATCAGAGCAAACTCGTTTGAATAGTACACTTCCGTAGTATAGTGGCGAATTCGGGTCCCACTTCCGGTCCGAAGGTTGCAGTACAATATTCTAAGAACTAATAATCATCGCAAAGAAATTTCGACAGATGGCTTCTTTTACTAATATTTTTTACTTGGGAATCTGAGAAAGATGAGCGAGTTATTTGTTGCTGGAAGTTTATGTTTCCACGTTTTTCACTTTCCCTTACCAATTAATGACTGTCGTGCTTGAATTCGATTTATTTCATATATTTTTCAGACTGATCCGTCTGTTAAAATATCCCAGCTGCGCAAACTGACATCGGAGTTCTTCGCCCAGAAGAACGGTGACAGCCAGCATGAGATCTTCGCCTTGGGACACTGTCATATCGATTGTGCGTGGTTGTGGGCGTATGACGAGACCATCCGCAAGTGCGGCCGCAGTTGGATCACCATGATCCGCTTAATGGAGGAGTATCCGGATTTCCGGTTTGTGGCTTCCTCGGCACAGCAGTTCCGCTGGGTGAAAGACCATTATCCGGTTGTGTATGAGCAGATTAAGAAATTTGTCAAGAAAGGTCAGTTTCTTCCGGTCGGTGGCACCTGGGTGGAGATGGACGGTAATCTGCCCAGTGGAGAGTCGTTTGTCCGACAGTTCCTGTACGGACAAAAGTTCTTTCAAGAAGAATTCGGAATTAAGTAAGTAATTCTAAATTCTCCTGCACTGCGGTGCATGCAACCGAATTGTTTCTTGATGGTGACAGCTTAGTGTTTTTTGATGGATTAATAAATTAATATTCGGAAAACGCCAATTATTTTTAGGAACACCAAGTAACTACTGTATTTCTGAATTGGAAGAATTTTATAAACATTTCAAAATTAATTGTAATATTTTTTCGGAATGGTACATTCACTGGTTTCTTTATTGTACTTTGTTGCACGTTTTTAACTTGATTAGCGTTATTAAGTTTTGCTAATTCGCACATTCTTAGATGTGATACATTCTGGCTGCCAGACACATTCGGCTACTCGGCACAACTGCCACAAATCATGCGCCAGGCGGGTATCAAATATTTCCTTAGCGCTAAATTATCATGGAGCCTTGTTAACTCTTTTCCCCATCATAATTTCCTGTGGCGCGGAATTGACGGTTCGGAAGTGTTGGCACATTTCCCGCCGGGCGAAAGCTACGGGATGAATGTGACGGTGGAAGATGCCTTGAAAACCGTGGAGAAGTTAAAAGACAAGGGTCGTGTGGCGCAGAGTATGATGCTGTACGGTTACGGAGATGGCGGTGGCGGACCGACGCCGGTTATGATCGAACGAGGTTGGATCACAATTTCCGTGTGATGAAATCCGTTTTTCATTCATTAATTATTATTGTATTATAGAGCAGTTAATAATTTGGGTTTATTCAATGTTTTTAAAGCTACATGGACGTTTTAGGAAGAAGAATGAAAGACGTGGACGGTATCCCGAAAATCTCTCTGGATAAGACTGTTGCCGACTTTTTTGCCGCGATGGAGAAGGATCGGAAGAACTTGAATGTGTGGAGCGGGGAGTTGTATCTGGAGTTGCACAACGGCACCTACACGACGCAGGCAGAGCTGAAGCGGAATATTCGGATGGCGCAAAATCTCTTCCGTGATGGGGAGTTTCTCGATGCCGTGATGTACGCGTTCATTGGGATTGAACCGGTCGACCGCCGAGAACAGTGGCAGGATTTCCTGTTACAGCAGTTTCATGATGTACTTCCGGGCACTTCGATCGGGAAGGTCTTCGAAGATGCAAACAATATTCTCGGTAAATATGGGATATTGGGAAATTGTTCTTATTTTTGGGGTCATTATTCAGTTAAAATAAGCGTTTTTTTGGGATAATTATTTCAGTCAAATATTTTTACCTTTTTTACCAGTAATGGGATTTATGTTATTAATTTTATTTTTGGAAGTAACCGTACTGCAGTTTGTGGATTCTGCAGATCGCCTCTTTTTCCGAAGCGTTTTTAACGAATTTCATTTTGAATGATTTTTCCGAAATTTGACCTTTTATTTATTTGTGATACAGGTAGTCTGATTGACACGTTAAACCAGGACTGCGTCTCCGCGCTGAATTTCCTTTCGTCCAGCCAGCCGCCGTATTTCAACGCCAGCTGCGGAAATATCCACTACCGCAATCCCCAATCCGGGATTTTTGCAGTCCTTCCGCCGTATTCCATGACAAACGACATTCGCTACCTCAACACATTCCCTTACACCATCAAAATAGAGAAACTCAAAGACGACTCCATTCGCATGGAGAATCAGTTCCTCATCGTTACGATGAACCGGCTTTGTGTCATTTCGTCCATGTTGCTCAAAAAGTCACGAACGGATGTGTCGCGGGAGTGCGTGTTTCCATCCGGTCGAGCCAATGAACTGGTGCTGTTTGACGATGTGCCGCTGTACTGGGATGCTTGGGATTGCATGGATTATCATCTGGAAGCACCGGGTCGATCTGATTATCAGGTTGTTTCGTTTGAAATTGGGCAGGCTGATGTGACGAGTGTGTTCCGCGTATCGGATGCGTGTCCAGTGAGGATGCGATTATTTATGCATCCGGCTGCGCCCATCGTCCAGGTGGAATGTGATGTGGATTGGAAGGAAAGACATAAATTCCTGAAAATGCAGGTATGTAAAATCATCCACCGGGAATTAATTTTTAGTCTATTTTAAAAGTTTCCATTTAAAATACTGTAATAAGTGAATTTTAATGTTGATATGTTGTGAGTTTTTATTTATAACTTATTTGTGTAATTTTAATATTTTATCCTGTTTTGCGTTGTTTGATGATTAGGATTTATTTTCGTTTAGGTCGATGCGAACGTGACATCAGAAAACAGGAAAGCCACGTATGAAATTCAGCACGGCTGGCTGGAGCGTCCCGCGCATCGCAATACGTCCTGGGATTGGGCCAAATTCGAAGTGTGCTGTCAGCGCTGGGCGGATGTGTCCGAGTACGGTTTCGGAGTGTCGGTGATCAATTTGACCAATCAGGGATTTTCCGTCCGCAATAACACGATGTCGCTGTCGTTGTTGCGGTCGCCCAAAGCACCCGATCCCGAAGCCGACATGGGTGTGCATCCCCTAAAATACGCCATCATGCCGCATTGGTCAGTAGCTAGTTTACGTTTTGTATGAAACAGCAATTCGATCTGATTTGACTCCAGTTTATTGATTGAATTTAATCACGATCTTCATAAAACAAAACCACACCGATATCGTATTAAAAGCACACTTTTAATCGAATAGTTTGATTAGGCTCGATTCTACAGTTCTCGGTAGTTATTAAATTTTAAAATTTATTTAGTTCTGATCCATTTTAAATAGTTTATTTGTAATTCATTTAATTTTATTAGTGTTTTTTTTGTTTTGAAGGAATCTTTTACGAATTTATTTATTTTTAAGATCGTTATGTTTTTATATTGGTGCACTTGTAAATTTCGTCGTTTTTTCAAATAGAATATGTCTGATTAAGCAAATTATATCTGTAGGGGGTCGTTCCAAGAAGCTCAACTGATCCAGCACGCTTCCTCTTTGAACGATACCTGGGATCCTGCATATGAAACCCCCACCGATTCCGATCAAGCCCAACGCAGTGGTTTAGTGCGATTTTTCACCATATCCGATCCGGCAGTGATTCTGGACGCGGTAAAAACAGCGGAAAATGGTCAGTCGCGTGCCATAGTCATCAGATTATACGAAAGCTATGGCGGAAGTGCCGTAGCTGCGGTGGAAACGCTCTTTCCCGTGGAAGCGGTGCAGGAATGTGATTTACTGGAGAATTTCGTCGGCGAGAAAACGCCAGTGAAAGATAAGAAATTTGTGGTGACGCTTCGGGCTTTCGAAGTTAAAAGTTTTGTTGTGTTCTTGACGTCGACTACCCCAGGACATTGGTGATAGCTTCGGCAACTGCTTTTTCTGTCATTTTATTTTTTTATTTTGTTCCATTTGGATAACTTTTGTCTGCTAGTACTGTACCTTTTAATGCTTGAAAATTTAGAATTACCGCAACGAGGAGTACCTGAAACATATTAAGCAGGAAGCTTGCAATGGCATTGCGAAGCTTGGGCTAAAACATTACACAACGTACTTTGTTACCTCTTGTTCACTGCGAGGCACGAACCAGTAATTTTCGTAGCAGTTGCGTATTAGTCGCTTTACAGTATCAGCAGAAAAAGGTGACTTGGTAGATGAATGGCTCAATGGCAAATACTACCCGTTTACGTCTGGTATACTGTTTCAATCATATAAACAAGACCACAGCAAAGCTGCCAAGAAAAACAACATCGGGTACAAATCATTCCCGATCAGCCAATCTAAAAGCTAAAAAAACATCTTCGCTGTCTGTCATGTCACTAAATGTTCCGAGGACAGACACTGCACTTCCACGTTGTATCTCAATACTGATTCTCTGACGCAAAAACTCTCCCGAACGAGGGTTACCACTACATTCGCAAATCTTGTCTTATCTGACATGCAATATTAAGTAATAATTTTTTGTTAAAATGATCAGATGGTTAATTATAATACGAGTAATGTTTTCTGATACGAATTTTTCATCTTTTTAATTATATTTTATTTCATAAAATACTGCTAATCCTTTGACGGACGGTTCATCTTTCTTTTATCGACATTTTCAACCGAAGTTCAAAGAGTGACAGATAACAGGACAACGAACTTAATCAAAACACGCACAAAAAACATCACCCTGCCATTAAGAATTTAAAACTGCAATTTAAATCCTTTGGGCTTTGCGATCGGTTTGATCGCCGGCAACTCCACCGGTTTCTGCGCCGGGTTAATCCTGTCCAACCGCTGCACCGTTTCCGGCCACATAATCGGCCCATACTCCAGAGCATACTCATTTCCCAACTGCAGCAGACCCTTCCCGCCCTCCACATCCTCATTCCGGCAGTACATCTCCATCAGCGCATCGAACGCACACCCCGACAAATGCTTGAAATCCTTGAACTGCGTCGGGATGTCTTTGAGCAGCGTCAGCAGGCGGTACAGCAGTCCGGCATCCCGTTCGCGACGGGCCTGCTCCAGGAGGGTGGTGCACTGACCCGGAATCAGGCGTTGGACACCCGGATGCCGGGATAATAACTTATCGGCGTCAGTGAGGGCGGCGGGCGAGGGATGTTGGAACAGCGCCCTCCATAAAAATACACCCACCTGCGAACAATATTTTCTACTAAATCTAACCCATCTTTGCTTTTTACCTTTAACAGTAAGTGTTTAATAATACTGTTTACTATTTTGGAATATCTATTTTTTTAATTAACCTATTTTTTTAATTCAGAGAAAACTGAAATTCAAAGAATTATTTCCGCATTCAGAATTATTTCAGAATAATACCGGTGCAAAAATATTATTATAATAATTATTATTGTTTCAGAGTATTATTAATTCCAAATGTATTACTGTTAGGAAACTATTGCTTCCAAACTTTTAAAATATTTCAGAAGAATTTTTCATTGAGAAAATTTCGTACACCAAGAGTTCAAGAGAATATTCAATTATTACGATTTTATTTTTCTTTTGTAAGTCTTATAATAATTTCTACAAATAACACAAACCTGCAATTCCTTAAACTCCGCCGCGTAATCGACAAATTCGTTGAGGGAATCGAACTGTTCCGGACAGGGATAGGTGTTCACAGCGCGATAAATACTGAAACGGAAGAGATTAATAATCTTCCGTCGTCCGAGTGGATAATCGCGAAAAGCCGTCTTGAAGACGTCTACCGAGTCCCGAAACCGCCCGGCCATCCATAGCGCATTGCCCAGGTAGTGCTGCAGCTTCATCTGTCTCTCAAACTCCTCTTCATTATGCTCCGCCATGATTTTCTGGCAGAGTTCTACTCCTTCGACGCGTCCGTGTTGTGCGCAGGTGGAAGCGTATTTGACAAGATCCATGATTGGCAGCGCTTTCCCTTCGCGATCTGCCGTCTCCAGTTTGGACAGCATGGCGTCCGGATCAAGGTAATTTTGTGGAGAATGCCTGGATTCGGCTTTTCCCTGGATTCGTGATGAGAGGAAGGATGGCTCCGCGATGGGCTGCACAGGCGTCAAGCTCCGACTCATGCGCCGCAGACGATTGTACTCGTGTTTCATCGCGAAATCATTGCGGATTTTGTGCTTGAGATGGACGGATTTCAGATACTCGTCAATGGAGGCCGCGGCATCCGGTTTCTTCGCATCTGCAGGAACAGGAGTGCCATCCTCACGGGTACCAGACGCACCAAAGGATCGCGTAGAGAAGGTACATCGCTCGATGTCAAGCGATAGCGTTCGGCAGAAATATCGTTCGTCCCAGAAAACACACCACGATGCAAGTCGTCTAACTGTTGCGTGCATCATCACAATATGCAGACGATTTCAAGTTTAAACAGCAAAGCATGAGCTGAGCTGAACTTTCTACTCAGCTCAGAAAAACTCGGAAAAGGAAAGAGTGCATTAAAGAAGACCCATCATTGATGGGCCATCAAGCTGAAAAATTAAAAAATTTTTGATTTCGCGATTTCGTGCACGCACTGAAGCAGCTGAAACACCCGGAAATAGGCGACCGCCCACGAAAGCGCTGATAACGGGAGGTTACTTGAATAAAAATCGGAAAACCAGCTGATTCGTGGATTTTGTATGAACTCCGTTACTAGATTTATAGCATATTTACTTTTAATTCGTATTTACTTTATATCAATAAATTCGTGTCTGATTATCTTTCGAATTCTACCGCGCCTTTTGGCGGATCTATCTCTGATGTCGCCTGATGATTTTGGATTGCTGTTCTAGCGCGTAATCAGGGCAGCACAGTTGATGTCAACGCGTGATATTGGACACCATAAGGTGCCACTGAGCCAGCGTTGTGGAATTACGGTTTAATCATTAATGAGAAACATCTGAAAGCGGACGACCATTGCAAACATGTTGGACATTTACGGGCTCGTCAGCGTTCTGCCTCGTCTTCCGCTGACGATTGAGTCGTTAGCCACGTATGGTATGGCGACAGGGATTCTTTTTTGTGCTTAAGTCAATGTCTGATATGAAATTTTGCTTGACGCTTGCAACTTGTTTCGATGTTTATTGTTTCGTAGAGGACAACATCTTCGTGGGCACCCGCGAGGGGCATCTGATCATGTACAAAACGGAATTCCGTGGCACGTTTAATAAAGGTTAGCTGTACGGTTTATCGCGCAGGTCGTCTTTTCGACTTACACTTATGATATTTTTCGATACTTTGGCAATTTAATTGTTTTCTCGTCATAGATGGCATCGAAGAGGCGGAGATATCACTGGTGAAATCAAGCAAGAATTTCTCTAAGAAGCCCATTTCCCAGGTAGGTAACTGATGAATATTGTTCTTTAGTGCCCTCACCATAAAGGGGGCATTTTCTAGTTTGTACCATTTACATCTGCGGTAATTAAGTGTTGACAACTTTTTCATGATTTTTATTTTGATATATGAAAATAAATTTTATCTTTGATTTTTATCTATTTGTTTATTGTTTTATCTATTTTTGTTTATTTATTTGTTTTTATCTATTGATTTACTTATTGACTCTGATTACTCCTTTTTTTATATTTATCTGTTTTGCATACTTTATTTATTTCGGTTTCTTTTAATTATTTTAATTAATAATTTTTTAAGATAACTTATTTTGGTGTTTTCCCACTGTCTTGGTTGCAGTTGGCGGTGATTCCGGAGTTTCACATGCTGGTGTGTTTATCCGACAACATTGTGAGCATTCACGATCTGGGCTCGACCGAATCGGGCAGTTTCCCGGTGCTGGACACGTTGAGCAAGACAAAAGGCGCCACTCTCTTCACGTTGTGCACCGTACGGGATCCCGAGTCCAAATTCAACACCAAAGTGACCATGTGTGTGGTTGTTCGCCAACGATTGCTGGTACGCTACTTGTTTAAAATAAATCGTAAATTTTCTGGGGAAAAATAATTTTTCTTGATGTAAAACTACCCGGTTGCTCTGCCAGCCAACTTTGTTCAAAGCCATATCTATATGATAATGATTTTCGTTATTTTATTTTTCGTTGTGGAAAAAATAGCTGTTTTATGTTTTACTTTGCCGGTTTTGAATCTTTAGCGTTTTTTCCGTTTCTTGCTTAGATTGATGTGTTTAGTACAGTGATTTTTTGTCTGATATACATTTATTTTTTAGGTGTATTACTTGAAGTCTTCGTACGAGAAAAAATTCGAGGAAGTGCAGGTTGGTTATCTTGCGCTTTTCATTTGCCGAAATTCCGCTAATATGTTGCATTTTGCAGACCGGTGTTAAATTAAGTGTGCCAGATACACCGAAATGTGTGGTGTGGGTCAACGATGTGTTATACGTGAACGTTGCCGGAGAATATCAACGAATGAGGGTACGTTTTATTTGTACCTTTCTGCTTCTGTGGATGATAAAGTCTGTGTGAATTTTCGCATGCTTATCGTACAGTATTCCACCAGATTCGCAAACTGTCTTTCTAGTTGAACGGCGATTACGACAAACTCTTCCCCATCGATAAGAACCAGGAGCCCAAGATCTTGCCGCTGCCGGACGGGCGTATCGCTTTCGGTTACGATAACCGCTGCGTGTTTGCCACGCCCGACGGGAACATTAGCCGCGAGACGCTGACGTGGTCCGGTGTGCCCAACCAGATCGCGCAGGATGCCCCGTTCCTCTTTGCCCTCTTCCCCAATTATGTGGAGATCCGTCCGTACGAACCAGCCGGCAAGGGCGACGAGGCCATGCAGCGGATCGAGATTGCCAAGGCCAAATGGGCCTGTGAATCGCACACCAAGGGAATCACGTATATTGCGTCGCCCACGGCGATCTGGGCGCTGAAGAGCGCCACGTCGGTGCAGCTGATTGATCGGCTGCTGAATGCCAAACAGTTTGAATTAGCGGAAAATATTGCGGTAAACAATTAGAAAAAATTAGAAAATTCTAGTTCTGCTTTTTTGTTGCTTACCTTACAGTAACTGGATTTATCAGTTTACTTTGGATTTTCGTACGTACAGTTGTATATACACTTTTTTCGGCATGTTATTGTGCTGTTATTTTTTGGTTTGCAGAAATACTCGACAGTGGGCGAATCCATCAAGACGGAATGGTTTCAGCGGATTCGAAATATTTATGCGTTCCAGCTGTTTTGTGATCATGAATTTCGCAGATCGTTCGGTCTGTACTCTGAACTGGGCACGGAGCCACCGTTTGTAATCGGTTTACTGCCGGACTTCCTTCCCACGGTCAGAGAAACCATGGTGTATCCCAGTAAATTGCCCGAACTAACCGGCTCGTCGCTGGAGAAAGCCACATTTGCGCTCATCGAATATCTAACCGAGGTAATTTTATTAGACAGGAATGTGACGAAAACAGGACTGGGAAAGGGAATCGATCACAGATTTTCCGATTTACAGTAGATACTGCATATTGTTTGTTTTACCGGTTAAGTACAAGTATACTATAATCACTTGAAAGTGTGTAATGTTAATAATTTGAACAAATTACACTTTGTTTAACGAAATTCTGTAATAATCTGATTTTTGTTGAACCTCTTAATTTTCTGCAGTTTAATCAACTTGAGTTTTGCCCTGTTGCACTGTAATACCGTTTGATTTTCTGTGTAACTTTTGTGTTTGGGTGTACAGTGGCGACAGAAATTGAGTCTGGAAAGCAGCCGTCGCAATGGTGAACGCACTGAAGAAGAAATCGCCAAATCGGACGCATTAATGCAGATTGTAGATACATCGCTACTCAAGTGCTACTTGGTAACGAACCGCTTCCTGGTCAGCACGCTGCTGCGCCTGCCCGATAACCACTGCAACTTTGAGGAAAGCGAGCGTTGCTTGAAGAAAGCCGACCGTCTGGATGAGCTGATCATTTTGTACAAAAGCAAGAAATGCCACAAGAAAGGTCAGTTGTCAGTCTTGTATGGATACCTGCTTCCGGGTGTTTACGTACTTAACGGACTGTTTTTTTCGAACAGCGTTGGAGTTTTTAAAAGGCCAGATGGATCTGCCGAAATCGACCTTAGCTGGCCATTTGAAAATGGCGCAGTATCTGGGAGAAATCGCCAAAGATGAACTGGATTTGGTGTTCCAGTATGCGCGCTACGTTATCCGAGCAAAACCCATTGATGGTCTAAAGGTGAGTTCCGTGTTCCTTGTACATTACCGCAAAGCGGTACTAGAATTGTTTGAATATGTGTGTTGTTACTTGTTTGTGTTAATTCTCGTGCATTACTAATTTTGATTAAATTTTTTGTTCTCAAAACACAATGACTATTTCTTGTAAATCGCTGCAGTTTTGCATAATTTTTGTTGTTGTAATACAGTACTCGTATGCATTCTATATGTGAAACGAACTGGATGTTTGATAGTAACTTGTAAGCTGGTTCATTTTTCATAACTGCGACCATTAAAGTTATTACAGTTAATTTATTGAAACAGTGACGGTGATAGGCATTTGACGTCGTGTTTTTTGACAGATTTTCACGGATGAGAATTTTGACTGCATCGACATTCCGCGCGATCGAGTGTTTGAATTCCTGAATCGGAATGCGCCGGACCTCGTGGTGCCATATTTGGAGCACATTATCAATGTGTGGAACGATGAGACGGATGCGTTCCATACTGCACTGGCAGAAGCCTACCTCAAGCGCGTGGGGCTGATTAAAGATAACGCTGACGCGGTGGCCATCTCGGAGTTGCGGAAGACGTTGCAGGGTTTCTTGGCCGCTTCCGAGAACTACACACCGGCGGTCTGCTGGCACATGTCCCGCTAAAGTGTAAGGCTTGAGCAGTGGTATTATAGGACAAACGGCACGGCTTTCTTAAGAACCTGTAGTGTACAAATACGTAGAAGTAGTGTAAAGCTCCGGCATATTAATGGTAAATTTTGCTAAATGAATTTTTCATTTTATATTGAAAGAGTTTATGTGGGTATTTTACGTGATACCTTTTTTATTATTTTGACACTTTTTTATATTTGTCTTGTATAATGTTTCGATAATTTGTTTTAAAGACAGTTCACGCAAAAATGTGTGCAGTGCATACGTTAGCATCCTAGTAGCGATTCACGTTTTGGTTTATGCCGGTGACGATCAGCTTTGGATAAATCGGAGCTTTGTCTTCTTCCAGGCATGTTCGAAGAACGCGCGCTGATTTTGGGACGCATGGGTCGGTTTGAGCAGGCTCTCGGACTGTATGTTCATGTGCTGAAGGATGACGACAAAGCCGAAAAGTGAGTATTCCTTTTACAGCATTGGCGTCGTTACGCTGTGGAGCAACCTTTAGGTTGTTCGTAGAGTTTATTGACGTTTCCATTCGGCTGTGCATTTGTGTTAACGACTTGCATCATTGTAGGTTCTGTGAGCAGTTTTACGATCCAAAGAACATCGACGCCTCTCAAGTATATTATCTTCTATTTAAAACCTACGTCAAACCACCGGAACCCAGTACACTGGGCGTTCTCCTGAATGATCCGCCCTCCACGGAACGGAAGCTGGACGAAGCTTTCCGCATCCTCCGCCGGCACAGCAGCCGCATCGACTACGCCAAGGGCATGGAGCTGGTGCCGAAGACGGTGTCCGTGGCGGAATTGTCGGATTTTCTCATCACGGCGCTGCAGGTGCTGACAGCCCGTCGCCGCCAGGTGGAACTGATGAAGAGTCTGCATTACGCGGAGTATCTGCAGATGCAGTACCGGCGTATTGCCTGGGAGGGGGAGATGTTCACGCTGAGTGAGGATGATACGTGTGAGATCTGCCGGAAGCGCATTGGCAGAAATACGTAAGACAAAATCAAAATTTATGGATGTTATTAATTATCTTAGCTGAAAAGAACATTTGATTATTTTTAATTAATATGTTTTTTAACAGGGCTTTCACCAAACTCCTTATACAAATACATTACGCTTGGTGGATTCCCAGACGTTATATAGACCCAGTCACGGGTTTCAATGCGAAATATGTTTGCATCCATCTTGTCTGTGATTTTATTATTTTACCGAACCATTTTGTCAAGTTTTGCATGCTACGTTGTATGAGAGATGCTTTTTTACTACTGTTCTGGAAATTTTTTTGGGTTTCGCGCAGCTGAAGTACCGGTTCACCAGACGTATCACAATCATATGATCACAATCAATCACAATTAATTAAGCAATGTGAATAATTATTAATATAATTGTTTATTGATAGTACCTGCGACCGCGTAAGACGTATGTATCTCTGTACTGTGCAGCACCGGGAAAATATAACACATGTCTAAATTTTTGCAAACTGAAGCAGGTGATTTAAATTATTATTTCTGGATTATATATTCGAGACTTTCCCAACTTAATTTAGCCATATCTGCACATATTGTTCCAAGCTCCGTTTTCTTTCCCTTTTGTCTTAAAAAAACGACAGCAACGCGGATGATAATTTTTCGCGTTGGGAAACAATTGCACGGAGAAGTGGATTCACAAAATTTATCACGTGGACAAATCACCAAACTTGGTAGTCTAAGGGTTGAGAAAAACATTGAGAAAAACATCAGAGTACATAAAATAAAATATGCTTAACAATCTGACAGTAAGCCAATAAAGCAGATCCTTTGCGCGAGTTACAGCGAAAAAAACATCTAAATAATTACACTGAATAAAATCAAAAGGAAGACCAGCGTCAGCCACACATCGTTACCGAATCAATACGTAGTCTAAGTAGATCCAATTTTCACCCTTCGAATTCTCGTTCGAAAAATTCTGGCGGACTATTGCTGGTTCTGCAGGGAACTACTCTGCATCTTGCTCGTGCCTCTCCCGGTAATAACGAATCCAAAGTCCTCTCAACTCCAGAAAAAACTCGCCAAGGGGAAAGGCAAACACTCGCGACGATCCATCTGGATACCGGATATCCAGGGAGAATTCCACAGCATCTTTAATGTTTTTTTCGTCAGCACGGTGTTGAAAAATCAGATGCATATCGAAGACTCTTAGGATATCTTTGGCTGTCATTTTTTCCACATTGCGATCATACACCTCTTCACCGCTGACTAGATAATATTTGGTCTTGCCTCTACCCACCGGCACGCCTTCATGCGCGGGTTTACAGCTGTCCGCGTGCGTCGGCGGTTTCGTCCGTGGGTTTGCAACTCTCCGGAAAACAAATAAACTGGCCCAAAACGGCCCTGTCTTACCGGGCGGGTAATAAGCCACCTTCATGGCCAGACAGTACTGGAACTGGGTCGTCGGTCCCAACAAATTAGCCGATTCAATGAATAAATGCGTCAGTCTCTCGTGCGTAAAAGCAACTTCAAAGACAATTACATCCGGATTTTTCTTTTCGTACTCCTTAGTCACCAGTCCGGAAAAACGAACAATCTTCTCGCTCTTCCGGGGGATAACTACACCGCATCCCAACCTATCCACAACATTTGCAATTTTGCCTTCTGTTAGAGAAACGAAATCTTTGCTCTTGGCGCGGAGGTTCTCCATGACGATGTCCATCAGCTGACCAATGGCGCCACCGTGGACATCCGTAGCGTGAACCACTGCGTAAACCCATTGCATATGAACCAGCAGTCGGCAGGGCCCGTCGTACTCGTCCGCGTAATAAATCCAATCGGCGGCGTCGTAATCACTGTGCAGCCCAACGGCGAACTGGACATCCGGTTCGAAGGCATGGGCGTTAACCAGTGACGCTACTTGATCGAGATCACGGATGAGAGCCGGTTTACTGATCAGTTCTACCAACGGAAACACAGACATAACTATGAGCAAGCGTACAAAATTACAACATACAACAAGAAACAACTAAACGGGCTCTTTCATCACAGTCAAAGCTCCGGCGCAGCCGATATTACCGCTGTGCGAACGCACACACCTACCCCGCAATTCCACAGATTCTGCATCGAATTCTTTAATCAAATGCTGCACCGTAGAAATCATCACATCCAGCACTGACAAAAACTTCCACATTGTATCCTGCAACACGTCAGGGATATCATCATAGGCCACATTGTAGGATGTTATGAAATATAACCGTCCGGCATATATACTCACTTTGCCATGTGTTTCCATCAACAGCAGGCCACCCAGCGGAGTCAGGGCGCTTTTCAGGGCAGATTGCGACTGCACGGGAACAGCGTGCTGCAGGAGACAACTCAGTCCGCCAGTTACATCCAGAACAATTCCTCGGTCAGCATCCAGGCAGGCGTGCAGCGCGTACAGCGCACTGTCCGACAGCTCCCCGGGGCAGCCAGCGTCGCTGACAGCACCTTCAGACGGGAGCGCCGCTCCATCAGTACAGGCAGGCACGCCGATGCCAGATGCAGGCGCTGGCGCGGGGAGAGGTCGACGGCCGCGTCGCACAAACGGGCCAGTTCATGGCGCACATGCTCGTACCTTCCTCGCATCAGTGCAGCGATCACCTCTTCGACGAGGAACGAGTGGGTGTTGTCGTCCGCAGTGTCCGCTGCAACAGACAACCAAAACAGTTACCACGCGATAGCATTCGTGCGTCTGTATCCCACTAACCGTTTGATGCTGGCAAGGTAAGACTGCTGCGGAAGACTCGCATTTTCTACAAACGGACATGTACGAACCACAGCGAATCAGACCAACAAGAAAACGGAGGGCTACCTCAACGATCTCGGCCAAATCGTCCAGGAAAGAACGTACTGCCGGAGTAACCGTCACCGACATGGCTCGGATAGAGTGACGCTGGGGAGTGGATACAGCAGGAAGGCGGGTCCTCACGAGGCCCCGACTGCCCCAGGATGGGGAAAGAAAACAGCCGTGTCGCGCACCAGCTCCAGCGGCAAGCTTTGCTGCCTGGGCTTGTCGCATCAGATTTCGGCTAAGAGTGGATGCCATGACCTGAAACGACAATAATTACATTGTACGAGTACGACTCGTAATTATAATGATACCTTCACCATCCTGAGCCAGCAAGCTGCAAGACGAAATTCCCGAGCAAACGGGACTGCCTGATGGTCATTTCATTCCTTAACTAAGATCTTAATAATAATAATTCGCCGTATTAATAACTGGTCATACTGATAATTACGCTAATTACGGAAGTTTTTTAACAGTTACTGTAAATAATACAAACCTGCGATTCCTTGAACTCCGCGGCGTAGTCAACAAATTCGTTGAGAAAATCGAGTTCTTCCGGACAAGGATAGGTGTTTACAGCGCGATAAATACTGAAACGGAAGAGATTAATGATCTTCGGTCGCCCGAGTGGATAATCACGAAAAACGTTCTGGAAGACGTCCACCGAGTCCCGAAATCGCCCGGCCATCCATAGCGCACTGCCCAGGTAGTGCTGCAGCTTCATCTGTTTCTCAAACTCCTCTTCATTATGCTCCGCCATGATTTTCTGGCAGAGTTCTACTCCTTCAACGCGTCCGTGTTGTGCGCAGGTGGAAGCGTATTTGACAAGATCCATGATTGGCAGCGCTTTCCCTTCGCGATCTGCCGTCTCCAGTTTGGACAGCATGGCGTCCGGATCAAGGTAATTTTGTGGAGAATGCCTGGATTCGGCTTTTCCCTGGATTCGTGATGAGAGGAAGGATGGCTCCGCGATGGGCTGCACAGGCGTCAAGCTCCGACTCATGCGCCGCAGACGATTGTACTCGTGTTTCATCGCGAAATCATTGCGGATTTTGTGCTTGAGATGGACGGATTTCAGATACTCGTCAATGGAGGCCGCGGCATCCGGTTTCTTCGCATCTGCAGGAACAGGAGTGCCATCCTCACGGGTACCAGACGCACCAAAGGATCGCGTAGAGAAGGTACATCGCTCGATGTCAAGCGATAGCGTTCGGCAGAAATATCGTTCGTCCCAGAAAACACACCACGATGCAAGTCGTCTAACTGTTGCGTGCATCATCACAATATGCAGACGATTTCAAGTTTAAACAGCAACGCATGAGTTGAACTTTCACCCAAGCTCAGAAAATCTCGGAAAAGGGAAGAGTGCATTAGAGAAGACCCAGTAAGGCTGAGTAAGCTGAAAACTGGCACTGAAAAAAGAAAAATTTAAAAAAGAATTGATTTCGTAATTTCGTGAGCAAAATTGTCAGTGCAGGCTTTGCATCAAATCAAATACCCGGAAATAGGCGACCGCCCACGAAAGCGCTGATAACGGGAGGTTACTTGAAAAAAAATCGGAAAACCAGCTGATTCATGGGTTATGAACTCTAGTGTACTTATAGCACAGAAAGTACTTAGAGGGACCGTGCTTATAGTTTATACAAAGCAATGCAGTGCAGAGATTTATCACATATTTTGATATTTACGTACTTTTAATTCGTATTTACTTTATATCAATAAATTTGTATCTGATTATCTTTTCGAATTCTACAATCTACCGCGCATTTTTGCGGCTATATCTCGGATGTTGCCTGATGAATTTGGATTGTTATTTTAGCGGATAGTCAGGCTGACTCAGGCAGTACTGTTGATGCCAATGCGCGATATTGGACACCATAAGTGATAAGGAGCCACTGCACCAGTGTTGTGGAATCACGGTTTACTGATAAAACATCTGGAAGCAGACGATCCTTGCAGAATGTTGGACATTTACGGGCTCGTCAGCGTTCTGCCTCGTCTTCCGCTGACGATTGAGTCGTTAGCTACCTACGGTATGGCCACGGGGATTCCTTTTTGTGCTTAAACTGATGTCGGGTGTGCAGTTCTGAATGACGCTTGTTTCACTGTTTCGCAGAGGACAACATCTTCGTGGGCACCCGCGAGGGCCATCTGATCATGTACAAAACGGAGTTCCGTGGCACATTCAATAAAGGTTAGTGCGATTCATCGCGCCAGTCTTTTTGACTTGCACTTGCAAGTTGCAATATTTTTCGCTACCTTGGCCACGATTTGAATAGTTTCTCGTGATAGATGGCATCGAAGAGGCAGAGATATCTTTGGTGAAATCAAGCAAGAATTTCTCCAAGAAGCCCATTTCCCAGGTAATTTGTGAATATTTTTCTTTAGTTTCCTCGCCCAAAAGAGCGTATTGTCCAATTTACGCCATTTAAATCTGCGATAATTAAACGTTGACATTTGTTTGGTGATTTGTTAACTTTGAGATATTTATGGTACTTTATTTTATGGTACTTTATTTTTTTAAAAATTTCTTTATTAAATTTCTTTATTTTTTTATTTAAATTTCTTTATTGGTGGGTGATTTATTAACTTTGACATATTTTTTATGGTGCTTGATTTTTTGGGAGTTTATCTTTTTATTTCGGCTATTCGTTTTTCTTTGATTTATCTGTTTTGGTTAAGTACTTACTTTTTTAGTTTTGGTTAATTTTTTTTAGTTTTTAATTAATTATATTTTCAAATTATTTTGCGCATTTTGCCAGTTTCTTGGTTGCAGTTGGCAGTGATTCCGGAGTTTCACATGCTGGTGTGTTTATCCGACAACATTGTGAGCATTCACGATCTGGGCTCGACCGAATCGGGCAGTTTCCCGGTGCTGGACACGTTGAGCAAGACAAAAGGCGCCACTCTCTTCACGTTGTGCACCGTACGGGATCCCGAGTCCAAATTCAACACCAAAGTGACCATGTGTGTGGTTGTTCGCCAACGATTGCTGGTACGCTACTTGTTTAAAATAAATCGTAAATTTTCTGGGGAAAAATAATTTTTCTTGATGTAAAACTACCCGGTTGCTCTGCCAGCCAACTTTGTTCAAAGCCATATCTATATGATAATGATTTTCGTTATTTTATTTTTCGTTGTGGAAAAAATAGCTGTTGTATGTTTTACTTTGTCGGTTTTGCGTCTTTAGCGTTTTTCCGTTTCTTGCTTAGATTGATGTGTTTAGTACAGTGATTTTTTTGTCTGATATACATTTATGTTTCAGGTGTATCACTTGAAGTCTTCATACGAGAAAAAATTCGAGGAAGTGCAGGTTGGTTATCCTGCGCTTTTCATTTGCCGAAATTCCGCTAATATGTTGCATTTTGCAGACCGGTGCTAAATTAATGGTGCCCGATACACCGAAATGTGTGGTGTGGGTCAACGATGTGTTGTACGTGAATGTTGCCGGAGAATATCAACGAATGAGGGTACGTTTTATTTGTACCTTTCTGCTTCTGTGGATGATAAAGTCTGTGTGAATTTTCGCATGCTTATCGTACAGTATTCCACCAGATTCGCAAACTGTCTTTCTAGTTGAACGGCGATTACGACAAACTCTTCCCCATCGATAAGAACCAGGAGCCCAAGATCTTGCCGCTGCCGGACGGGCGTATCGCTTTCGGTTACGATAACCGCTGCGTGTTTGCCACGCCCGACGGGAACATTAGCCGCGAGACGCTGACGTGGTCCGGTGTGCCCAACCAGATCGCGCAGGATGCCCCGTTCCTCTTGCCCTCTTCCCCAATTATGTGGAGATCCGTCCGTACGAACCAGCCGGCAAGGGCGACGAGGCCATGCAGCGGATCGAGATTGCCAAGGCCAAATGGGCCTGTGAATCGCACACCAAGGGAATCACGTATATTGCGTCGCCCACGGCGATCTGGGCGCTGAAGAGCGCCACGTCGGTGCAGCTGATTGATCGGCTGCTGAATGCCAAACAGTTTGAATTAGCGGAAAATATTGCGGTAAACAATTAGAAAAAATTAGAAAATTCTAGTTCTGCTTTTTTGTTGCTTACCTTACAGTAACTGGATTTATCAGTTTACTTTGGATTTTCGTACGTACAGTTGTATATACACTTTTTTCGGCATGTTATTGTGCTGTTATTTTTTGGTTTGCAGAAATACTCGACAGTGGGCGAATCCATCAAGACGGAATGGTTTCAGCGGATTCGAAATATTTATGCGTTCCAGCTGTTTTGTGATCATGAATTTCGCAGATCGTTCGGTCTGTACTCTGAACTGGGCACGGAGCCACCGTTTGTAATCGGTTTACTGCCGGACTTCCTTCCCACGGTCAGAGAAACCATGGTGTATCCCAGTAAATTGCCCGAACTAACCGGCTCGTCGCTGGAGAAAGCCACATTTGCGCTCATCGAATATCTAACCGAGGTAATTTTATTAGACAGGAATGTGACGAAAACAGGACTGGGAAAGGGAATCGATCACAGATTTTCCGATTTACAGTAGATACTGCATATTGTTTGTTTTACCGTTTAAGTACAAGTATACTATAATCACTTGAAAGTGTGTAATGTTAATAATTTGAACAAATTACACTTTGTTTAACGAAATTCTGTAATAATCTGATTTTTGTTGAACCTCTTAATTTTCTGCAGTTTAATCAACTTGAGTTTTGCCCTGTTGCACTGTAATACCGTTTGATTTTCTGTGTAACTTTTGTGTTTGGGTGTACAGTGGCGACAGAAATTGAGTCTGGAAAGCAGCCGTCGCAATGGTGAACGCACTGAAGAAGAAATCGCCAAATCGGACGCATTAATGCAGATTGTAGATACATCGCTACTCAAGTGCTACTTGGTAACGAACCGCTTCCTGGTCAGCACGCTGCTGCGCCTGCCCGATAACCACTGCAACTTTGAGGAAAGCGAGCGTTGCTTGAAGAAAGCCGACCGTCTGGATGAGCTGATCATTTTGTACAAAAGCAAAAAGTGCCATAAGAAAGGTCAGTTGTCAGTCTTGTATGGATAACTGCTTCCGGATTTTTACGTACTTAACGGACTGTTTTTTTTAACAGCGTTGGAGTTTTTAAAAGGCCAGATGGATCTGCCGAAATCGACCTTAGCTGGCCATTTGAAAATGGCGCAGTATCTGGGAGAAATCGCCAAAGATGAACTGGATTTGGTGTTTCAGTATGCGCGCTACGTTATCCGAGCGAAACCCATTGATGGTCTAAAGGTGCGTTCCGTGTTCCTTGTACATTACCGCAAAGCAGTACTAGAATTGTTTGAATATGTGTGTGTTGTTACTTGTTTGTGTTGATTCTCGTGCATTATTAATTTTTGATTAAATTTTTTGTTCCTCAAAACACAATGACTATTTCTTGTAAATCGCTGCAGTTTTGCATAATTTTTGTTGTTGTAATACAGTACTCGTACGCATTCTGTACGTGGAACGAACTGGATGTTTGATAGCAACTTGTAAGCTGATTCATTTCTCGTAACTGCGACCATGAAAGTTATTGCTGTTAATTTATTAAACAATGACGGTTATAGGCATTTAACGTCGTGTTTTTTTGACAGATTTTCACGGATGAGAATTTTGACTGCATCGACATTCCGCGCGATCGGGTGTTTGAATTTTTGAATCGGAATGCGCCGGACCTCGTGGTGCCCTATTTGGAGCACATTATCAATGTGTGGAACGATGAGACGGATGCGTTCCATACTGCACTGGCGGAAGCCTACATCAAGCGCGTGGCGGCATTGATTAAAGATAACGGTGACGCGGTGGCCATCTCGGAGTTGCGGAAGACGTTGCAGGGTTTCTTGGCTGCTTCCGAGCACTATACACCGGCGGTCCTGCTAGCACATGTTCCGCTTAATTGTAAGGCTCGTGCAGTGCTATTATAAAACAAACGACACGGCTTTCTTAAGAACCTGTAGTGTACAAATACTGTAGAAGTATGTGTAAAGCTTCAGCATATTTATTAGTGGTAAATTTTGCCAATGAATGTTCATTGTGTATTGAAAGAGTTTATGTGGGTGTTTTACGTGATACCTTTTTCTTATTTTGACCCTTGTTTATATTTGTTTTGTATAATGTTTCGAAAATTTGTTTTAAAGACAGTTCACGCAAAAATGTGTGCAGTGCATACGTTAGCATCCTAGTAGCGATTCACGTTTTGGTTTATGCCGGTGACGATCAGCGTTGGATAAATCGGAGTTTTTCTTCTTCCAGGCATGTTCGAAGAACGCGCGCTGATTTTGGGGCGCATGGGTCGGTTTGAGCAGGCTCTCGGACTGTATGTTCATGTGCTGAAGGATGACGACAAAGCCGAAAAGTGAGTATTCCTTTTACAGCGTTGGCGTCGTTACGCTGTGGAGCAACCTTTAGGTTGTTCGTAGATTTTATTGACGTTTCCATTCGGCTGTGCATTTTGTGTTAACGACTTGCATCATTGTAGGTTCTGTGAGCAGTTTTACGATCCAAAGAACATCGACGCCTCCCAAGTATATTATCTTCTATTTAAAACCTACGTCAAACCACCGGAACCCAGTACACTGGGCGTTTTGCTGAATGATCCGCCCTCCACAGAACGGAAGCTGGACGAAGCCTTCCGCATCCTCCGCCGACACAGCAGCCGTATCGACTACGCCAAGGGCATGGAGCTGGTGCCGAAGACGGTGTCCGTGGCGGAACTGTCGGATTTTCTCATCACGGCGCTGCAGGTGCTGACAGCCCGTCGCCGCCAGGTGGAACTGATGAAGAGTCTGCATTACGCGGAGTATCTACAGATGCAGTACCGGCGTATTGTCTGGGAGGGTGAGATGTTCACGCTGAGTGAGGATGATACGTGTGAGATCTGCCGGAAGCGAATCGGCAGAAACACGTAAGACAATTCGTCAATATCGCTGCCCGTAACCGAGAACAGGTATTGATAATTATTTAACTAATTCCTTTTTTTGCAGAGCTTTTATCCGAACTCCTAATAAAAAGCTTCGTCATTACGCTTGTGGAAACATTCCCAGACGCTAAATGGACCAAGTCACTGATTTCCGTTCGATATTTTTTGGATTTGTCTTGTCTGTGATTTTGTTCTTTCCGTACCATTTTACAAGTTTTGCATGCTGCGTTCAGTACGCTGCATGAGAGTTGATGCTTTTTTTATTATGTACTGTTCTGGAAATGTTTTGGGTTTTGCGCAGCTAAAGTACTGTACTTACCGGTTCACCAGACGTATTATAAACAGTTATAAAACATTTACGAAAGTATGCTTTGTGGTAAAAAATAACAATCTGAATTTTTGCAACCGGATCTCCGCAGCGGTTTCCATACGTGCAGTTGACCAATTGTATACACGTACATTTTTTATACATTTTGCGTACTAGCTTGGTAAAAATTAATGATATTTGTAGCAGTGAATATGAATACTTCTATCTATATTTCCATGTACTGTGCGCAGTCACTGCGTTAAGTAAAAAAAAGTATAAGTTAAAAAGCAATCGTGCATTCTATTTCAGTTAGTATGTACTGTAATCAATCGCACAGACCGTACAAGCGAGTAGATGCCGTTTTTATTCGTTCCCGATCGCAACTTGACTTTCTAACAGAACAACTTGAGATGTTCACGCTGAGTGAGGATGATACGTGTGAGATCTGCCGGAAGCGAATCGGCAGAAACACGTAAGACAATTCGTCAATATCGCTGCCCGTAACCGAGAACAGGTATTGATAATTATTTAACTAATTCCTTTTTTTGCAGAGCTTTTATCCGAACTCCTAATAAAAAGCTTCGTCATTACGCTTGTGGAAACATTCCCAGACGCTAAATGGACCAAGTCACTGATTTCCGTTCGATATTTTTTGGATTTGTCTTGTCTGTGATTTTGTTCTTTCCGTACCATTTTACAAGTTTTGCATGCTGCGTTCAGTACGCTGCATGAGAGTTGATGCTTTTTTTATTATACACTGTTCTGGAAATGTTTTGGGTTTTGCGCAGCTAAAGTAATTGTACTTACCGGTTCACCAGACGTATTATAAACAGTTATAAAACATTTACGAAAGTATGCTTTGTGGTAAAAAATAACAATCTGAATTTTGCAACCGATTCCGCAGCGGTTTCCATACGTGCAGTTGACCAATTGTATACACGTACATTTTTTATACATTTTGCGTACTAGCTTGGTAAAATTAATGATATTTGTAGCAGTGAATATGAATACTTCTATCTATATTTCCATGTACTGTGCGCAGTCACTGCGTTAAGTAAAAAAAAGTATAAGTTAAAAAGCAATCGTGCATTCTATTTCAGTTAGTATGTACTGTAATCAATCGCACAGACCGTACAAGCGAGTAGATGCCGTTTTTATTCGTTCCCGATCGCAACTTGACTTTCTAACAGAACAACTTCGCCAGAAAATAATGATTAACAATTTCCTTCTGTGCTTTGCTGATAGAATTCAAGCTCTTTTCCTTCAAGAACGTATCCGTCGGCGCGGCCCACTTGCCCCGGTCGAGAAGATATACACGCTGCAATACACAAAACATTTCGATGAATAAATTTCTACACAAATACTGATTAAACCTTCACATTACTTGCTAGTTTATTTCTCAATATGTACAAAGGCGAGCTTCGCTCAACAAATAAGATCAAATGAAGAACTTGTCCCAATTAACATGGGAAGGGACTGTGCACAATACACTCATAGCAATACATGTGAGACCGGCATTGTTACGTTAAAAGAGATCGGTAAGAAGTTGTTTTTAAGGACGGGTGAGAGCCGCTCTATTTGTTTTTTGTTTCAGCGTTTAAGTTTGGATGCGTGGTAATGCTATGAGTGTATTGTTCACATTACTTATTTTCAATAGCATTCACATGGTCAACAATCGAAATAATAATCAATGCAACAGGAATAACTCACCAAGCACACGACCACCCATAAACTGATCATCCAATCCCGGTTCCACTTTACCGCCGATCTGACGCTCCTTCAGCTTCTTGAGCGCCTTGCCTTTACGCTCACGATTAAGGTTCTTCTCTTCCGCTTCCGACTGGAAATAATCAAAATCAGAACGTTAACAAACTCCATCAACACTTTCTAGACTGTATAAAATAGTTAACCTGCTCATTACATAATAATTAAGGTTTTAAACATCGTTTTAAAAATAAACAGGACATCAGCGAAATATAAATTTGCAACACAGACACTGTTCAGCCGAAAGATGGTTATAGCCATCACATGCCCCTTCAAGAAAGAATTCATCCAGTAAGAAATCAGGAAAAATAGATACGATACAATGGTACATTAATCAATAATAATAATATACTGGAAAATTCAATGCAAGGTCACAGCGCTAACTACTGCCATTGCATTCTGCGAATAAAACACAACGAGTACAAAAAGTGATTATCTTACCAGTTTCGCTCCCTTCTTCCGGCCGAGGGGAAGTCCGTAGTGTGCTTCGTACCACGTACGGAAAGGTGTGGCATCGATCACGACGATGGCGTTCTTGACGAGGGTTTTCGTGCGGACCAACTCGTTGTTGCTGGCATTGTAGACCACGTCTACAATACGCGTCTTACGCGTACAATCTGCACAGGAAAAAATACACATAAAATTTTTAGGATTTTCTATCATATTAAATTTAACCAGATAACGAAAACACGTGCATAGAAATTTTAAGTAGCAAATTTGATAATTATGAAAGCTGCTGGAATCAGGGAAAATAAAGCTTCAGCATTCACGTACTGTCAGCCGAAAGATGGTTGAAACATCATTTTCCACTGCAGCTAAATAATTACTGATCTCCTATACTTCTCGTGTTGGTCATTAAATGCTTACTTTCTGAACCCCATGAGAAATTGCCATGGTCCAAACGAAGAGCTCGGAATTTAAGGTTGCCACCCATGACACGCACGGTGTGGACACGGGAGGCTCCAATCTGCAGAAAAATAATTTTTTCACTTTTTAAATGAATGTAGACAATCACCAAATGCTTTGGTATCCTAAAAAAATCGAGAACCAAGCGAAGCTGCTAAAGCTAGGGATATCATAAATTTCCAAAAGAAAACCCAAGAACCAAGCGGCACTCCACAGAAAATGGCCAACATATCAACAATGTCTCGCTAATTTTCAATTTCTTGAATTGTTATCCCATTTCACTGCATTCTGCATCGGGAGTCGCTGGGAAAACTTCTATTTTTGATTTAAAATTAAGTCGTGAAATGGCTCACCTTGGTGTTGGCGGCCGGGCGACCCAACTCGTACTTCCTCTTCTTGCGGGTGATGGCGCGTTTTCCTCCGGTCTTGCGTCGTTTATGGATATGATCCCGGTTAATACCTGCAGAAAACCATCAGTGCTAACCAGGGAAGAAGTGTGCAAACATTGAGGCATCGTGAGAGAACCAAGCAGGAACTTTGACTGTTTCACCGTGAGATGAAGTCACCAGACCACGGAAAACTGTCCAAGTTGGGTATGTATGCTTGAATATCAACTTACCCATTCTGGTTGTTTGTTATATCCAAGGGAATAATTAAAGGAAACGAAAAACTAAGAGAAAAACTAGAAAACCCTTTCTGCAGATTCCATCTAAATCTGCGCATCCAAGAGCCGCGTGTTACGAGCCGATCATCAGCGGCAAAAATCATGTTCAGACCGCAGTAGCATGGAACACGGCCTAGCCTGTCTCAGTGGTACAGGCTTACCGTTACGGTACATCGACTCGACGCACTTCAGCGCATTAACTGGCAAGAGTTGTCATATGTATCGGATCCTAGGGCGGTATGGACTTTTGAGGTTCACCTTTTTGGGGGGCAGTCACATATTTTTCCTTTTTTGCGTACCGGAAACGATGATGAAATCGAAAATCCGAAATCGCCTAACAAAATTTTGTTCCGGCGCAAATCACTGGCTTCAGTTTTTCCTTTTTGTGGCATCTGAAGAATATGTGACTGACTTTCTTTACTCCTGCTTTGTTTTTCTTGTGAATGTACCCTTAATATTTTTTACTCCATCTTATTGTTGGCTAGTTGTGAGTGCTCGGTCGTAGCTTATCCGGGACGAATGAAGCGCCAGTATTTCAGCGTTAACTGTAAAGGCGCTCCGACAGTGTCTCCGATCTCCGAGCATATCGATCTTCTGGATATATTTCGCAGCAAGAAATGCGTAAATATTTGTGCGCCGATGGTGGAGTATTCCAGGTATTTCATGGGGAGAATCCCCAACACAGGGCGAGAATTTTTGCGATGCGGGAAGCCTGGAAATTGTGAATGATCATAAGCCCTTTATTAGTCACGATAATAAATAGCAATAATTTTGTGTTCAGCTTGCTTTTCTTTTACGTAAATTGATATATTTATGCGGTCTCTGAACAGGGTACGCTTCCGCAATTTATCGCGCCAGTATGGAGTGGATATCGCCTATTCTCCTATGATTATCGCGGAGGATTTCGCCAATAATCGCATACAGCGTCTGGGAGAATGGGAAACGAGCGATGGTGAGAGTCCAATGCGCAGTTATGTTGTCGGTGTTTTATCTGGTTAGACAGTTTGTGTTATGCATGGAAATTATTACCGTGATCAGTAGGGTGATGTTTCGCATTATAGATGACAGGCCGTTAATTGTTCAGTTCGGGACGAATGATCCTGTTGCCTATGCCGACGCAGCGGAGATTGTCTATCCGTAAGTTATATGTGCGAATTATTTTTGAACTGACTTTTAATTTTATTTTTGATGTGCTGAGGGGTATTGAATTCTGAGATCGCGGTGTTGATCTGATGAATTTTGAGGTTTGGAGTTGATGAATCCCTGTTGCAGGTATTGTAACGGTGTGGATCTGAATTGTGGATGTCCTCAAAAGTGGGTGCATTAACTGATTTCTTGGGAACTGATCGAATCTGTTTATTGTATTCCTGTCACTGCCTGATACATCCTGTATACTCTTACTTCCGCACCGCTTACGTTAGGCTCGTTTTCTCTCTTTTCGCAATGCTATAAAAGAGGTTTCGCGACTTTCGTTGTCGATTTACTAAACTGGAACGTTTGTACAGTGACCAGCTTGATAGGTTTGCCGTGATGTTACTGTACAACCCAAAAATGTTGGAGCAGTTAAATAGAAGAACATGGACATTGTTCCGTTGCTGATCGGCTTTTCTTGCAGATGGGCCATACGACGGTGTATCGGATCGTGTCTGCTAAAGAAGCCCGAACTCCTGCAGGATATGCTACGGCAGCTGCATAACCGTCTCCCAAGTACAAACTTCTCCAAAACCATTAAAATTCGTCTTCAGGATGATCTCACGTGAGTTTAAAATCAGCTCAATAAACTGAAGTGCTTAATTAAATACGCTTAATACCGCCAGAGCGATTAAGAATACTCCTTTGTCGAAAACCGTTCGTTTTGCTGTATAAGAAACGTTTCTGCTTGTGTAATGTGTACCACCAGTGTGTTACTCTTCTTCTTGATAATATGCCTTCCTCGGCGGATTTTTCCGTTTGTTTCTGAATGGTAGTGTAATCTTAGCGCAACCTAAACGGTTTCAATCCGTTTCCAGAAAACGTGGATGCATGTTCGATGTTGATATCATCGAACATGCATCCATGTTTTATCATCGACACGCATCCACGTCGTATGTCCCTACTTGTAAAATACTTGTTGACTTTTGCAGTAAAACCGTGGAGTTGTGTCGGCAAGCGGAAGCCGCCGGTGTCACGTGGATTGCCGTTCATGGACGCACTCCCGACGCCATCGTCCTCACCGGTTGCCCGGTGAATTACGATGCCATTAAGCTGGTCAAAGATTCCGTCAGCGTCCCGGTGGTGGCCAATGGGGATGCGTACAACATGGCCGATGTCGACAGGATCATCGAGCAGACCGGAGCCGATGGAGTCATGGCGGCGCGGGGACTCTTGAGAAATCCGACTATGTTCGCCGGTTATGAGAAATGTCCTTTTCCCGTTATGAAGGAATGGGTAAGAAACATTTAGAAATATTCAGTAGGCAGTTATCAAGTACAGATACGTACAGAGAGCTCTGTACACCATAAATATTGCACAGATACGATACTGCACTGTTAGTTATGTTGTACTGCTCCGTGAAATGATGTTTATTTTAACAGCTTACCAGTTGTATATTTTTTTATTGTTTATTTCAACAGATTTGAATTTAACGTAATTCAACGGATTTGAATTTAACGCTTACACGAAACTTGAAAGTACTTACTTGAATAAGGGTAATTGACGAAAGTAAAATAATTGTATTGCTCTGGTAGTTCTTGCTGCACAAGTTAACCATCTGTGACACAAGATTAATAATCGCCGTATTTATTTAGTTTTTGTTATCTGTAAGAGCCAGATTGCGTGTCTCAGATTGCCATGTTGTGTGTTTCAGATTGCCATGTTTGAGGGTGAGACGGACTACCTGGCATGGACTGAATGCCATCATCATCTGCTGAAAATGGTACAACCGTACTTGACCAAAGCCGAGCTGGGGGAATTTTCCGGCTTGGTCAAGCAGAATGCGTTAATCATGGAGTTTATGAGGAATAAACTGCCCGAATTCGACAAGGTCGAAGGATAGATCATTTTTGATTTCCGTTTTGGAGTTTTATTTTTTATTCTTTGGTCATGATTTTGTTCCCTGTGGTAACAGAATGCGGTAAACTGGGATAAAACCAGTTGATATTAAACTTTATTGATCACATGAAACAGCGTAAAACTTTTAGAAAGAATTGCAGGTGTGTTATTTTGTGTTTGTGTGTCTTTGTTGGCGATGTGTGGATAGATTTTTTACCCAGTAAAATGAAAATTACCGGATGCAGTTAGATTGCTGTAGAATGCTCAATCGTGTGTGTACTTATTTAATCGTAAAAAAACTATTTCTGGTGTTGAGAATTTGAGACAGGTTAACGTAAACAGTTACCGGTTGATCATCAAATTTAATTCATTTGATAAATAAATGAAGAGAGTCTGTTGTGACTGATCAGTAATTTCATTGTGCGTTGTATTTGTGTGAAAAAAATTCATCTCTACTTGTTGGATCTGATTGGTCAAATCAAAAACATAATGCTCTACTTCGTTCAAACTGCGAATTATTCGGCTCATCGATAAAGTTACAAGCCCGTCCTACCATGAAGAGCCCGTACACTACGTTCTTCCGCTATTCCTACTCGTTTCAGTTATTAGTAGTGACTCATACGAGTTACGAGTGATGTACAATTGGCATCCGCCGCGGGAGGGTTGTTTGCACAAACCTGCCTATTCGTCAGATCTGAGATCTCGTACTGCATTTTTACACCAGCGCTGAAGGTGAATGAACACGCACTCCGCACTCGATCAAGAATCAAGATGGCAGGCTGCGCCGCAGCTGATTTTTATCTCGACGATTTCCTTCCTCGAACAATGTCATCCAGGCTCCAGCATTTTCATCGTTCATCGTTAAGTTGATAATTATTTTTTCCGTCTGGATGTGCGGAGCACGATATGTGACCATTACTAGTCATAAAGCATAATCATTGAGCAGTAACGGATGTGCAGTTCCATCCTGGTGTATCATTCAGCGTATCCCCAGGCCCCAGTCCAAACTGGAGCAGTCAGAAATCACCTAGCCGATCGTCATTTCCTTGTTTCCCACATTGTAGAACTGGTACGGTATCTCTTGCTAACATTCGCACAGCATTGAACATGCCTTGTTTTTGCATAGTAAGGAGAGGGTACCATGGACGCGCGCCCCCATCATCCCGTTATCCCGTTGGGTCGTCATCGGGCAGCCAGTTCCCCCGGTCCCATGGACCACTCCATCCTCTCCCTGTACCACAACGTCGAGATCCCCGCGGCCCTGCGTGCCGCGGTGCCCCTGATCTCCCATCCCGTCCGCCGGATGTCCGCCTCCTATCCCGTGATCCCGCCGACCTCTTCCCGTAACCCGCGTGTCATCCGTGAAGCCGTCCTACATTCCCGCTGCCTGTCTGAGAATAGCGAGGCCAAACCGTCGCCGTCAGTGAAGCCAAAGATGGAGTTCTACGCCAGCAAGTCCTCTCCCAAACCGCCGCCCCGTGTGGAGGACCTCCCGTTGCCCCCGGAGGAGTGGCTGCTGGAGAGTTCGGGAAGTGAGAGCGGGTCGGTGTTTGAGAAGGAAGATGAGGAGAATAAACCGACGGATCCTGTGATGACGCACACGCACACTGTGATGCAGCTGCGCGCTCAGTTTCTCACTGTGACACTGAAGACATTGCTCAGAATGAGTGCCTGAAAGCAGGCACTGTGCCAATCTCGTCGGATTTGGATTGCCCGTCTTATCGTTGATTTAGTGGTTTTTATGGTTTTACTTCACCGCGACGCTGATTATTACGGTATAACACTTACCGTAATTCCATTCGATATCCACATTATATCCGTTTTTGTTGATTTTTCAGTAGTATTTTGGCCTTTTTTTAATTCCGGATGCGATTCAGGGATTGCCTTGCGTTTTCTGTACATAGAGACATGAGTCATATGACAATTTTCTATATGAATTTTTTGGATTTAAGGTTTAACAGGGGAGTGCGACTTTGGTTATGTACTCCCGGTTCGGTTTTTGAATTCGAAAGCTTTTATAGGGAAATTGGTCGGCGTTTTCTTTCTCTTAACACGATGGTAAATTTATTATTTAACTAATCATTCCCTACAATTGATTATTTTCGTTTAGTTTTGTACAGTATGGTTGTGCTGTTATGGTTTAAGCGACTACGCATACTGTATTAGATTATCGCTGCACTGACTTGTTCGACGGAAGGCATGTTTCGCGATGGCATTGCGTTTTGTTTGATGATCGTTATATGATTCTAAGACTCTCATTCTGTCAGTACGCACTGCTACTTGTACTGTAATAGTTTGTTTTCCTATGACCGGGTCACTTGCATGTGGCCGTTGGTTCGATGTTATGAGCATAGCTTTTGTCATTTGCAAAACCATAAAAAATGGGTCTAACCGGCCCGAAAAAAATTTATTTCGGTTCTGCATCAAATAGATTTAAAATGTACGAAATATTGGCATTTTTGTCAGTACGGTGTGCCGTGTGCGCATAGAAATCATATAAACTATTGTCACAGAGTTTTCGATTCTGGTTCTCTAATTCGATGAGGCATCATTCTGTCCATTGAACCAAAAACTCACAGAAAAACTAACGGATAAACTCCGAACAAAATGCCAACATCGGGCCGGAATATACAGCATATCACCCGCTTCCAGAATTCCTTCTTCGTATTTGGCTTCGCTAAATTTGGGAAACCTGTCTAAATCGGGATTTTCCACATCCACCTGCAAAAATATCCAAGGTAGAAAATAATAAAAAACGAACATTGACCAGTACACAACACGCAGGATTGTAAATTAACATTAAACATTCCGAAATTTTTTTTTATTCTTTTTGGAAATTTTGATTCCTGCAAAAAGTAGCATTTCAAAAGAAATAAATTGAAAATTGGTGGAAAAAATTCTGCAACACATTTTATTTACGCAATATAGGCAAGAAAGCATGGTACATATTTTCAAGCCGCTTATAAAATAATAAGTGTTTTTGGAAAGATATTTTTATGCAGGAGATAACATTTAGTTCAGGATTTCAGTTTTCGATGCGAAGTACGGCAAGTAATGTAATATCCTACCTGACTAGTATTTCCCAGCATTTTCGACTCATGCGGATACAGCCGCTCACTCTCTTCCTCCCGGTACAGCCGGATAAACTTCTCCCCCATCACCTGACACAGGAAATTCTCCTTGGGATCATAATGCAACGGCGATACGGTGCCTTCCGGCCCAAACCACGCATTGACATCCGGCTCATCATCCCCCGCAAACGCCACATAATCCGGCGTGATAATGTCGTCCGCCAGCCCCGGCGCCTGCCGGAAGAGTTCATGCTGCGCCAGATAGGCCATCTGGCCGTCCGGATTGTCGCGAAGATAGATATAGCGATCGATAAACTGTCCGACCGTCATCAGCTGCTGCGTCCAGTCGGTATCGGTGTAGCGGCGGCCCAATTCCACCGGGACGGTGCGGGAGCCGCACACCTGCCGCAGATATTCCGGCGACCATTTGTCCAGGGCCGGCCATGTGGAGAGGGCACCCTGGATGATCACCGGAGTGTGTGTGGAGAGGTAGGTGGAGTGGAAGGCCTGCAGGGAGGGTAAGTGAACAGTGGGGATGGGATGGCGGATCGCCGGGCGGTGGGAAGGTTTGGGACGTTTGGCCGGATGCAGGTGATCGGTATCTGGAAAATTGGGGGAATCGACGGTTAACAAAATGCGAGAACATTTTAATCGGATCATGTGCATTCAGTTGAATGTGAATTACAACGGTAACAACTGCTCGTATAATCTTTTTGTGTCTAAGCATCGTTCAATTATAAATACCGCGATACAATGAATAAAAATTAAAACCCGTTGTAATACAACTTTTAACTTGGGTTTAGAGCTTTACCGTATGATTAAAAAAATGCAACAAATTACGTAAAATACGTACGTAGTAAAACACAATAATGCTAAAAAATAATACTACTAATTATAAACATGTAAAACAATAAACATTTTTTGAACATAAAACAACATTAAACGACGGAAATATTAGGTAAGTATATGATAATGTAAAAATGCATATGGAGCAGAAATTCGGCGAATTTTCTCCTATTTAAAACAGAAACAAAACATAAACTGCGTAATCATCATTCCCGTAAAACGGCATTTTCAGAAACGGTAAAAACCGATGGCAAAAAAAATATTTTACGAAAATCAGAAGTAACATCTGCAGCGTCATATCTATTTCTAGTTGTAGCTTACTGCCAGCGCTACTGTGCCCGTCGTATGCTGCCACTCCACTACGATACTTCTCCACATTAGAGATGGTGTGAATGAGAATCCCCTCCCAGACATCGCCGCCCATCAGATGGCCCATATCACAGATACGAATCACTTCCTCGCCCAGCGCCTCCGTCGGCTGGCCGCCGCGCACCAGCACCGTGGCCACGGCTTTCAGCCAGGACACCGCGGCGTACAGCGCGTGCCAGTTGGCATCCACGTCGCTCCATTTGCCCGTGTTCAGCTCCTGCCAGGCGTACAGTAAGAGGGTCTCCAGGGGCTGCAGGAGGGAAGCAGGCGCCGCTGCATCACGGGATGCATGCGCCAGGACGTCGCGGATGGCCGCATCCAGGCGGACGATCACGCGGTGTCCGACGACGCTGGCGTCCAGAATGCTGGAGGAACAGGTGGAGATGTCGCAAGGAATGTTGAGGATGTGCTTCCATGCCTCCAGCATCGTGATTAGATAATTACAGTGCTTCAAAACTCACGCAGTACGAGTTCATTTCATGCACTACAAAAATCAACTCAGGAAAAATTGTTTAAAATACAGTGGATGCTCGGCACTAATGCTGGCAACTTAATTGTGAAATTTCTAACGGTTTCAAACCTTAAAATCTACAACTGAAAAAGCGATAAAATTAGAGCGAATAAAATCTACTCCGTTCTCGCGTAGATGTTCGCATTCTAAAAAGGCAAACCGCAAAAGCACAGACTTGTAAGTTGTAACAGCTGTCCTGGGAAGGTCGGTCCTTCGACCGCCGCGGATTATTAAAAAAAAATTCTTACTGTAATATGACAAACTACTATAATACGACAAACAAACTGTCCAGATGCCGAGTCAACCTGCAATATTTCGTACGCCATTTCAGAAATTCCAGATGCAAAAAACAACAACAGTTTCCATAAAGAATGGTTTCGAATAAAATTCGAGAGATACAATTAGATGCCAATATAGTACTTAATTAAGTCGTAAGTTGTTACTGCTGTGCAACGAAATCTTGTCGTTAGAATTAATACGAGTGCAAAAATTAATTCTATACAAGTATCGGTCGCGCTAGCGCGCGACCAGTTGTGTTCAAGGTATGGAGGAATGAAAGAAATTACAAAATATACCTCGTACACCAATAAAATATTTCAAATATAAAACCCCACCGAGGCCAGCTACGAAAATGTTTTAAACATGTAGAAATGCGGACAGCTTTCGAGCTTTCCGGTTAAAATCGATCAGTTTATAAAAACTGTAATAATCTCCGTAGTTTTTCTTTTTGTTTGTCTTTTTCATGTTTTTAATGTAACTTTATATTGCTGATCTAGCCAACTCAAAACTTGACTTTTTTGGTACGACAGATAGTATTTAAACGGTGATAAATGGATGGCGTGGGATCACTTACACCATGCCCATAAAACACCATTCAGCCGATATTTTAGCGCAGAATTAATGGAAACTTGTGGAAACAATTAATAGTTGCTCAAAGTGACCTCGCAGACTGCATCTTTAGCTACTAACTGCAAGATTTTCAGCCATTCAGCCATCTGTTCAGTATTTATTAAAATAAATTAAATACATATTTATTAGATTTAGAGGTTAGTGAATACCTAAGCTGCCACCAGTACCACAGAGCCGCTACGTTAGTGAATCCAGTAAGTTAACGGGCCGCGGGCCGGCTCTAAGATATTCGTATAAATTAGACACTTCAGACCGTGAGATATTGGGGTACTCAGATTTCTAAATATTTTTAAAATTTAGAAACTCTGGAGGCTAAAAGTATTAGAGGTAACGGCCCCGCGCAGCGGGGCCGAGTCGAAATATTTAGAAATTCTTGAAATGTAAAAGCTTTAAAGCTGACTTTGGATGAATTTCTAGTTATTTTGAGGTAATCGAACGAATTTAAGAACGAAAAAATAAGGACGTAAGGATACATGAATCTATTGATATATTTTGCATTATACTCGTACTACTTTATTAATGGTGGTATGAGTATAAAATGATTATAAATACACAAATTAATAAGTGACTGCACAAAAGGCCTTCCGCATTTCGCAGATATGACATCCTATTCCTAATAACGGTGCTGCCATTAAAGCAACATAAGTACAGATGAGTTACTAATGGGTACAAATTATTGAGTACTACATTACAATTTCAAGTTTAAAATGCCACGAACTGGGTGCAGTAAGCTCAACATGCACTCATATCAACGAAAGACAACCCATCACACCAATTCGAAAGAGATCGTTCGAAATTTTCTACAGCATTTAGATAAAACCGCTGCCGAACAACGGACGGGCATTTCGCGAGAACGACAACATTGTATATACAATTGTACCATGGTATATAGTATTTTCCCGGAAATTAGCAGTTGTTCGTTATATTGGCAAATATATTTGCCAATACAACGAACAACTACTCTGCTACTTTCCGGAGCGGATGACGGCCAAGGCCGAGCAAATCATACACGATCAAGATCCCAACCACAGCCCGTTCTATCTACTTCCCCACGCCCGTTCCGCACAATGGTATTGATCAGTTCGGCGCCGTATTACAAGTTATGCCCAAGTATCAACTGCGTCCGCTGGTTCGCTCCTTCACGGACCAGTTTCGCGAACGCAAAAAGCAGCTTAGGAAGCTCCTGCATTCGACGTGACATGATAGTGCACTGGTGAGTTTTTTATGCTGAACAGAAAACAAATTAATAAACTCTAGCGCTACTGAAGTGTCGTAATAACACTAAGAATCTTGCGCATCGATGGATGACCTTTACACTGCGTATATATTAGCATTCCGCGTAGTGGAATAAGAACAAACCTAACGAATACATTAAAAGTCACCCCGCTGTGCGAAATTTGATTTCAGGGCTCATTCAGGTCGTGGACGAACAGTTTAAACGCTTAGTGGACGCTTTGACGTATATCGGCGCCATTAACAACACCATTTAACAGTGTTTATTGCCGATAACGCGGCGTCATTGGTGGGCACGACCTCCATCGGACGGGGCGCCAACCGCGGCAGTAACTGGCCACTGCGTTTGGGCAAGGGCTCGCTGTTTGAAGGCGGAGTGCGGTCGTTCATCTCGTCACCGGCACTACAGCGCCGCGGTCACATAACCAATCAGCTCATTCACATCACCGACTGGCTGCCGACGTTGTATGAAGCAGCCGGTGGAAACCTGGACGATCTCCATAAGAATTGCCAGCATGAGCCAGTGGACGTCTTTAACACAAGGGCTCAATTATGGGCCAAGCAGGGAGCTGGTGAACAACATCGATTCCAGAACGGGAGCGTACGCTATAATCTACCAGGATAAATACGGAGGACCGTATAAAATTTACGGTTAGTTTTGTACGATCTTATAGAAACGTGAAATTTACTTGTCGTCTACAATATATATGCATATCAAACTGTAAAAAAAAATCTCTTTCCGTTAATAGCGTGCTGTCATTATAAATCTGACCTTTCAGGCGGGAACCTTTGTATGCATACTTATTTTGGATAGTAAGTTCACAAACTAGAAAACAGTTTCTAATGCTGGCAAATCGCTCAAAAAATGCTTGAAAAGAACACGAACCTTTTGCCCTTTTCGCATAGTACTGCGTTTAATGCTACTCGTGGTAAAGAATACGTAGGGCGTATTGTTGTGGGGAAACGGAAGGCACTACACGCGGTAATTCAATGAAAATCTGGATTCCCACATCAGTACGGTGCAATTTCCCAGAAGGCGAGGAAGTATGGACCTGTCGACCATATCTGAGCGACTGCTTATTCGACCTAATTAACGATCCATGCGAGACCATCAATATCGCCTCATTTTATCCGCGTATACTGAAGATGCTCCGACAAAAACTCAGCGTGTATAATCAGTCGGTGTACCCGTTCCAGTATAAGCGCTTCCCATCCTGACCTCCATTAGGGTTGTGGACGCCCTGGCTGGATCGCGACCAGGTGTACGATGCTGATCCGCTGACACATACAAGTAGCACATTCATGCCGACATCGCTTGTTAAATTCGAAACTGTCTACCGGTATAATCGGTTTGTAAACGTTCTAGATCTCCCAGCTCAAAAGGAGCGGTCAGCGGAAAGTCATAAGATGCCGGCCATATATGCGTAATCATATGCAAGGACAAAAATTAATATATTTGCTACGGTAGGTGTTGTTACTGCTGTCTGATGTCCTCCTATGATTGTATTGTTATTGGTAGCTTGCCCTGTTGTTATTAAAAGCGGGAAATTCAAAATACGTCGGCTTGTACCATTTTGGCGAGCTATCGGATTGAGTTCGTAGTACTCAATCATCGCTTTTTCTTTATTCAGCATGCATAATGACCTGCAGCGCTAGTGAGTAATACCAGCTAAACAAAAATAAAAAAGCGTCCAAAGCTCCCTATGGTTAGCCTTCTTCCTACAGATATTGCCTGAATTGCGAATTGCAATACGTAGGTTTGTTCGGTCCGCAGAACTACGGTATTAGCCAATGTATCCGTATACCAATATGGCAACATCACAGATTAATCATGGCTGAACTCGGCAACCGTTGCCCAATATCCTAATAAGTTGACCGCGCATGCTCATGATATCTCATCATCAACGTAATTCATTTGGGGGTTTCCTTAAGCGGTTGCCTGGCTGGTTTCTTGATGCAGAACTCCGAGTTCCAGTGAAAGGGATCAGCGGTATGCATTGTGCATTTTAACAGAGCCGCGCCTATCAGGCATTGTCAGGTTTGCACGCACAGTGACCCCCATCTGTACCGCTGTGTTAATTATTAGCAGGATATCGAGTCGATATTACCGACACTCCCATAGAAATCATATCCGTGAAGTGCCTGCCGATAGTGGCGGATGTATTGGGTACAAACAACGGCACTAATTGTGTTGCATATTGTACAACAGGACAAAAATGATTACCCATTCAGCGTGAATCCTATTTAATTTCAATCTCGCGACAATCAGCGGCTACGTCAGTGCATCCTTGCAGCTAACATTTTGTGGTTACACACTTATACTGGTTCGTGGGCGGCCGTAGACAAATAAGCCTTCTTATTTATGAACGTATCGCGTTTCAGGGTGGCACGGTTTACATAATTATTGTTGCAACATTCTCCCACACGGACAAAAACTGTACGTTGATTCTAAAGCATTGCTATAGATGTAGAAAAAATGTTGCATATTACACTTATTTGAGTTACTTACTACTGTACTCGTACTAGTCAAGATCTTGTTGTATACGTTTAACATGCGCATGTAATTAAAACTGCAACGCATGCACTATTCATCATTTTTTTCAAAGTTTAAATTTCGATCATTTCAAGTAGTGTAAACCTGGGTTAGTCCATCTGATCTGTGAACTGACTGCTGTCGATTAAAGCGTTATGACAAAACAACCTTATGACATAATAATTAGCTATAACTTTAAAGTGAAACCGAATCTGTTTACGCACCAGGAGATATCTAATACTCATCCAGGCATATAGAGCCTCCCGGAGACGCGCCAGGTGACCTAACAACGAGATGCAGCCGATAATCTTTCCTTCATCATTCATCCTTGGCTTTAAATGCATCAAAATCAGTGGATGTCGTTGAATTATAGTGTGATTGTTTTTTCTCATGCGAGTGACCTTTTATAAAATTGCGATTTGCGATTGGCCTTTCGGTTGATATCAGAATGATTTCAGTGAATGTTTTCTTATCGGTGATATTGCATTGTGCAGTAAGTGTCGTTAGTGTCTCCGCGTTTGTCCATCGTTATTCAAGCCCGTTTGACGACCTTCAGCCGGTGACGGAGCCGCCAGTCACTCGGGTGCAAATGTTACCAAATCC